AATTCTCACGACGTTTCGGCCACAACACAAGCAGCCGTCCTCAGGTGAAGAACAGGTCTGTCGGAAAGACAGTGTCAGAGATACGAATAAATTACACTTGTGGTTGTCCTCATTTGCATATTATACCGAATATTTTGGGGATTTTTCACTGATTTGTTAGGAATTTCCAAAAGAGCACTGTCTGGTGTAAAGTAAACCTTAAAAATTGGTAACATAATTTGTCAGTGGGCCATTGTGTTTCGGTATCGTAACCCTTATATGAATGCAATTTGGTGATAATTTATTTCAGACTAAATACAGTATCTGTCCCTATGTATGTTTGACATGTCTACCTTCCAAAGCAATAATTAGTGTTTGTTGGTTTTCACCTGATGAAATAAAATATTTGAAAAAATGTATACATTACAAAATGTAAACGCCATGCAGTAAAACGAGTCACTAATTGCAGCACCACACAAAAGTATTCAGAAGAGTCCCAGCGTTTGCTGGCTGGCAGCTCTGAGCTTAGGCATGGAAACTTCATAAGGGGCCTGACTCTTTAGAAAACCACAACTATTGACTTCCAACTAACTAAACTATTATATTTTTGTTATTTTACCAGGTAAGGCCCAAATAGCTATTTAGCTCTTGTATCAGAAGTGACCTGGCCACAAATGATAGCTCAACGAAGTGGCTTATCACATGGAAATTCATCGCAGCCAAATACTCTAAACATGTGTTTTTAAATGTGGAGGGAAAACCCAGTGGACCCAGAGAAAAATCTACGTGACCACAGGGAGAACATGCAAACTGCAAATATACAGGCGTCAGGGTCGGGAAAGAACCCACCAGTTAACACCTCGCCCATCAGAGCATCAACAACTTGATGCTCATTTGATCAGTCCCCAAGGAAATAAATCCTGAGTTGACTCCCTACTGAGAACTCACCAACTACTAAATCTTCCTTAAGTGCTGTAACCGCAGTTCTACCCAGCTGTGTTGTGAGTTCTTTGGTTCATTGATCGACTGTAATTATTGGTACCTTGTCACATTCCTCATTAATGTACTATATAGTGTACTCTCTACACTATATTTGGGTCAGGGAGATTAAAACTCATGTTCCCATGGTATGGAGGCTGACACTTCTCGTGATGGTAACAGACGTTATGCTGATATATATCACCGGCCACTGATCAAAAGATAATTCCTTTAATTATGAACAGCAGTGGCTCCCCTGACGGTATTTTCTTTCTCCTGACGTGCAGGCTTGTGGTTAGGAACCATTGTGCTATTGTCATTCAGCTCTGCGAACTGTAAGCAGATTTAGATTCAGCCCTATTGGATGTGACAGTGTAGGTTAAAAGGACGCGCTAAAATGTTTTGCTTGGCCAGGTGCCTACTTGCAGCTGGCAAGCAAAAGCATGTCTGACACGAATTTGTGTAAAGTCTGATGACATTACCGCGTTGCACGGAGGTGTGGACTGACTGGACAAAAAGCAAACTTTTTGTCCATTCAATTGAAGTTGACACTGATTATGGGCAACTTAATGGCTGCAAGCCAGCACACCACGATAGGATGTCCTTGTTTATCAATGGGCCATTGAGCAAAAGTTTTAACAGTCTTAAAAAAACACAGGCTAACTGTAATAACACTTAAAACGACAATACGTTCCTAATATGTGCCTGGGTGAAAGCCCACACTTTGTCGAGCCCTGCCGAATCCATGTCTCTCTAGAAAGTTAAAGTGGGATTTGTATTTAACCATTCCGCGAATCAGTGCGTTTACTCATCTACGGTTGGTGTTTGGGTTATCACGGCCCAAGTAACTCATCACTGTAATCCCATGTCCAAAGGCACATACTGGTAATCCCATACCATTACTATTACTCAGCAAAAACAATGTGTTTAATACTTCATAAGGGGGTTAATTACAAGTGGAATTGAACATTTTGAACTTTTCGTGCTATTCGCTATAAAGCTTACATTGGTAGCATAGTTGTATTTTTCCGAGCCTGAGTCAACGCAGTTATGTTAATTTACACACATTACAGATGACATTTTCTCGAGTAATCGGCCATGTTTTTGAAACTGAAAACAGTACTTTCCGAAGTCACCCTCCTCACACTTTCGATGACTATATAGTTCGATAAATACATTAACTTACGTACCTGCACTTATACTATTGAAACGTAAAAGGTAATATTTGCTGTTATAGCAAACTATAAACGTTTATATACTTAAGATTCCGTTAATACAATGTCCAATGACACGTGGAGTTGTTGTGCAACGGGGTGTAGCGCATGTCACGTGGTGCAGGCCGGCCAGCAGAACTGGTTCCATTGTTAGACGAGCAAAAGGTGGCGGATATTGGCTCAATGGGCCAGCTTTTTTTAGCTGGCTCATTGGAATTCCCAGAGGCTTCTGTGGGATTTCCCGATTACAAATTGGTGGATCCAGTCCGGCAAGCCTACAGAAGTCTCTGGGATTTACAAGAGCCAGCAGAAGGCCGTGGGCTTTACCATAGTGATGGCTCCTGCTTCTCTAACAATGGAAGCAGGACTGTTGGCTGGCTGACGTGCCACGTGACAGGTGCCTCAACCTGTCACGCACTTTTCAACTTTAAACGTTTATTGGTCTGAATACCTGTACAAGCGTTGTATGTATTCAGCAAACACACACATTCACACACACGTATTCATCTTAAGAGATGGTCAATAAATGTTGATAATTAAATTCGGATGATGTCAACAAGTAGCACGGTGGCTAAGAGATTAAAGTAGTGAGCTGATAACTGCTGAGAACCTGGGTTCAAATCTAGACGGCCGCCTGTGATTACACCAGGTTCTTAATAATTTCTCTCTCTGAAGCAGAGCAGGTGGGAAAGTGCTGCCCCGAGTGTGGACAAAAGGTCACTTGGGGTAGTGGGGGTATAACAAAAACGCTGGTCACCCCACCTTTGACCGAGTGGCTTTTGCCTGAGCACGGTATGTTATGAGTCTTCGAATGCTTGAGATCAGGTCATGTATAGCGTATACCTCCACCACACTGTTCAATTGTGTTTTAGGTCAAGGGCCAGCAACCCTTGAAACCCTACTCTCAATTTATACAAGAAACAAAGCCAAGCCTCGAAAGGACGGATCAAAACGGAAACGACATACGCCTGCCCACCGACTACGAGACAGGGAACTGCGAATCATTGAGGTCAACGTCCTTGGCCTCAGATCCAATATCGGAGAACTCACCAACTTGTGCAAGGAGAACGAACCCACAATTGTCATCGTGGTGGAAACATTCCGGATCCATCTGTTCAAGACGGAGCAGACTGCACTGCTGCCAAAGAGATAGAGCTGCCTCATCTGGAGCGGGCATTGCAATGTACTGCCTACAAGGAATTGCCATCCATCATGACTCCCAAAGAGGTCCAACAGACATTGAACTTATGTGGTTCATAATCACCTTACGTTCCCGGAAACTACTCATAGGAGCCGTGCACAGACCACCATGTGCTAACAATGACACCTTTGACTACCTGGACACTGAAACCCTGTAAAAATTACAGAGTTCGATGCACATTCCATCATGTTGGTGGGAGACTTCAATGTCCATCATGAAGACTGGCTAGAGAGCTGAACAACAGACTCAGATGACCACCGAGCTCTACAGTTTGCAAGCTGCTTGGGCCTCCAAAAGTTTGTTCAATTCCCAACAAGAGGTGACCACATCCTGGACATTGTCATAACTGACCTTCCAGCTGTATGTACAATGCTTGCTAACCTGGGTAGCTCAGACCATAACCCAGAGACAAGCCTTACACGAGGAAAGTGTGGCAATACAAAAAGCCAACGACTTGGGAATGAGAAGTTTCATCGCATCTACAGACTGGTCAAGAGTCTTCTCGGAGAAGGACCCTAAAAAGACATGTGTTGAGGTCACTAACATCATCTGTAATGCTATGGAGCTATACATCCCCAGCAAAATTGTTACATTTTGGGTCAAATTTAAGATTTTTTAAAATATATTTGTGTAATCATAGACACATTACAATGACATTGAACCCATTCACAAAAAAATTTAGTCACATATTGGTACTGTATAGCAGCGGTCCCCAACTTTTTTAGCACTAGGGACCGGTTTCGCGGGAGACAATTTTTTCACGGACCGGGGGGGGGGGGGGGGGGGGGCTTCATCATTGGGTCTTTCTCCCTTTTCAAAGAAGCTCTCCAGCGACGTTTGTTTTTTACTCATTTTGGCTACTAGGGTTAGCTGGTGGGCTTACCAAAACTGTGACTGAGACAAGTGCGCAGTGCGGGAAAAAGGCGTGGACGGAAGTAGTAAGTAAAATAAAGGGTGGGCCACGTGCGGACTCACCGCTCACCTCCTGCTGTGCGGCCCGGTTCCTAGCAGGCCACGGACCGGCACCAGTCCGCGGCCCGGGGGTTGGGGACCCCTGCTGCATAGTATAGCCTAACTTGCCAATGAGACAGATTGCACAATCTATGGCTACATTCCTGGAGCTGCTCAAAATAAAGATTCACTTGCAACTATATACATAAAAACTCATTTTTCAATAACACCCTTCCTAACACCCTTCTTAACTATGTGCTGTTACTCTCTAATACCTCTTTGGCTTCTCTATAGGCTCTGGAGTAGGACCTGAAACGTCACCTATTATTTACTTTTTCTTTGTACCCAGTGTTATTGACGAATGTGTTGAGTTTGTTTGTTATTTTGTGCTTCTGCATCACTGCCAACGCAGTATAGGTAGCCATGTGGCTCAGACAGGTTCTCCAATGCTGTCAGAGAGCTGAACTGGATTCACTGAGACTCTGGTTTCACATCCAAGCAGCCAGCCAACATCAAACCTGGTGTTCATGTGCAGTGGAGCTGATGGTCTCAGTCCGTTCAATGAGCGGACTCGCATTTGGTCAAATGGCTTTTGCATCTAATGCACATACGGGGTTGCTTGTTTATCGATGACATTGACCCCAGTGCGTGTGTGCACGTGTTGTGTTTGTGCGCAGCAATAGACCTCCTGGGGCTGAGCGAGGCCAAGCAGAACCAGCAGGCGGTGGAGAAGATCCAGCATGCCATGCTGTCCATCAACGACCTCTACTTCGTCTCCACCTTCCGGCTGCAGTCGAAAAGCGGCGGCGTCATCTTTGGCATCTACTCGCGCCGCGAGAACGCCAAGTACCTGGAGTTCGTCGCCCTGGGAAAGCTCAACAGGGGTAACTATCTGGAACACCTGCGGCTCTCTTCTCTCTCTCTCTCTGGTCATATAATTTTATGATATAAACGGGGGCGGAGGGGGGGAGTTTTTTTTTTACAAACGTTTCAGTAAAAAATTTAAGAAATTGCGTTGTAGCGGTGGTAAAGCCGGTGAGCAAATCATAGTGAGTGCTTTTTGTGTCATCAGGTATCAAGATGCTAAGCAGATTTTTTAGCTCGTTTATACTTGTGTAAAAGGGTCACGTGGGGACACCTTGGGGTGATGTAAGGGTCACGTAACGACACCTTGGGGTGATGTGATTGATGAAAGACAGCTTGCGCAAAGGCGGGCTCTGGATAGCATGGGATTGGCTGAGGACGAGGATGAAAGGGATTTGGCGGGAAAGAGGGAAAGGAGAGAGTTGGAGGTGAATGAAGAGACCAAGGGAGAGGATTGGTGGAAAAAGATGAGAGGGAGGAGATTTGAGGAACCTTCTGGAAAGTTCCAGGAGCGAGGAGGAGATTATGAAAAGGGGAAATTAGAGAGTAAGCGTCCTCGCTGTGAGTTGGAACAATGCAGTTCCCTTACCAGGGACGACTCGTGAGAGCTACCCTTTACCTTGTATGGCAACCTTCCCATACATCTCAGGTGTTGTAGTCTTGGGCTGTGAGATGAAACGATCTGTGCAGAGTGATTAGCATTGTTCCCTTGTACTCAAGGGTTTTCCTTGGTTGCTCTGGTTTCCTCCCAAATGCCATGCACTCACTAAATACAAATGGGCAAACATTTTAATGCAGGACCCTCCAGAAAAAAAGTATTCAGATTCAGTGAGGCTCTCCATAAGTGACAATAGAGTATTGATGGTCCCTCGTTAGGAAACATCACTTAACATACCAGTGGCTCACCTCTTCCACTCTCATTGAATGTAATTAGAAATTATTTTATGCATCCGTCTTGATTCTTCAGCAGTTAGTTTATAACTCAATACCTGGAAATGGACAACTGCTCATATGTCCATACAAGATCGTTCTGATGTTAAATGCAACATTTCAAGTCACTCCACTATAAAGTGTGATCTCCAGAATGCACATTCGATTAGCACGGTTGGCTTCGTATGGTGCGAAATAAGTTCAACATACATACATAGATCAGTCACCGTATCTTCCCTCTCTCTACTTTGTACTGTATGCAGTGAGTTAACTTTACCCCTGCACCCAATGCAGACACGATTTTCAATGTAACAAAAAAAAATATTCAACTGCATCTCGACCATAAATCGTGACAATTCATCAATTTGCAAGGGGGACATTGAGACATGCCGCAGTGTTTGTGCTCCGACAAGCATCTGTGCTGCTGACCGATTCCTGATGATGACTATGATGTTCATGACGACGTTAAACACCTGCATCCCTCACCATGGGACGCTGCTGTGGTACAATGATTAAAGCAATCGAGGTTCGTTCTCCCAGCATGGCAGTTGAAACGATGCGCACGTTTCTTAAATCTACCCGCCCCTGTCCACCACTGTTTAGTCGATTAGGCAGGTCTCATGTGGTGAGGTAAAGTGTGGGGATTCTCACCTCTTCCAAGATGTCTGGCTAGGGTGGAAGAGAAGCCCAGAATGCCGTCTCGAGTGGCCGGATTGCCCCTTCTGCCGACAGCAGCGCGGGTGCGCAATTGCAGGGCTGCGCCTTTTTACAACCTTCAACATCTCTAACCGCGTCACCCTCCATGTCTCCTTTTCAATCCACGTGCACCTACGCCCCTCGCAGTGTCGCTGCGCTACCTGAAAGGCGACGGCAAGATGCACACCGTGAGCCTGCAGAACGCGCCATTGGCCGACGGGCGCACGCACTCGCTCATCCTGCGCCTGTCGGGCCTGCAGGAGTCCGCCTCCAGCGCCGAGCTCTACGTCGACTGCAAGCTCGTGGACTCGGCTAGCGGCCTGCCGCCCATCCTGGACGTGATGCCTGAGCAGGCGGACGCGCTGGAGGTCCGCACGGCGCAGCGCACGCTCTTCCGCAACCAGGTTAGTGCGGTTGGGCCACAGGCCAACCAGGTCCGTGCGGCTGGGCCACAGGCCAACCAGGTCCTTGCAGCTCGGCCACAGGCCAACTCTTTTTTCAGAAGCAACCAGGCCACAAATGATAGCTCAACGAAGTGACTTATCATGTCCAAATTTACAGCAGCCAAATACTCTAAACGCATGTTTCTAAATGTAGAGGGAACAACCAGAGGACCCGATGAAAAATCCACGCTACCAAGGGGATAAAATTCAAACTGCAAATATACAGGTGTCAGGGTCGCAATCGAATCCACGACCTCCTGTATACTCGGCAAGGCAGTTCATATTTTGCCACCGCGCTGACTTGAGCAGGTGAGCAGCACAGATGGCTTGAGGAGGAAATTCTATACCATTGAGGTAGCAGCAGAGAAGAGGTGACATCCGATTGAGTGGAGGTCAACAACTGAGGGTTTTAACAGAAAACCTTCAATCGCTGGAATGAGGAGTACGTGAAATAACTGTATTGAGTTTCCCTTATTTCAAACGGGTAAGAGCCTGGAGTAGATAACCTTGTAGGTGGTGTACTTGACAAAGCGCCCATTGTAATGGAGATGAAGCTTCAACTCCTTCAGCTGTAAGCACCTTGTTTCAAATTCTTCATACGTCAACTACACAGTACACGATTATTCGCTTCGTAATGGTTCGTACGGAATGATGCTCTTGGTTGCTACACCTGGACATCAGTGCCATATTTGAGTAACTGAGTGGGGGCTCCATTGATTGGAGTGTAGCAGATTTGTCTCTTGACTGTAAGGTGGCTAAACGATGGCACAAAGGTTGCTTACCGCTTGTCTATGCAGATCTTTGAGCGGTATCAACGTATCATCCGCTAACCTTTTCTATAGCCAGAGCTTCTCTTCGTAGAATTTGTCCATAAACCTTGTCAAAGTGTCTTTAGCATGATTTATTATCATTCTGTGCATTGCTGCAAGATTCAGGGGGGGGGGCCCTTGGCCTAGCCACGGTTGCTTTCCTGTAAGAGCTGGGCATTCATACATTCTGTTGCTAGCTGGGTATGGCCTACTGAATTTAAACAACGTGATTGAGTGAGAATGGCAAAAGTGTGGCTGTGCCCTTCAGTGATAGTCTTGGTGTCCCTCGGCGTCCGGTACGTGCCCATACAGTACCTCTGTCGAAGCGCGTTTGAATATGCCTGGAAACTCTGACTTATATTTTCCTTCCTCAGTGCCAATTACATTTCAACTTTGCTTTGCTCAGTCATAATCCTTGTTTACAACTTGTAAGAAGTGGAATTGGAAAGTTTATTTTACAGAAATAATTCACATTTATGATCTGGGTTTACCCAGGTTTACCCCGAGACAGACCCACCATGCAAGGCATCAGTGTTTCCATTCCAAATGCCCAGGTTCAGCTGGGCGCGCCAAACAGTAGCGGCGCAGAATGGACTGGCAGATTGATTATCTCATCAGGAGGTTGACACACACACACATGCATTGCATATTTGGGCTCTACTTCAATGGGCACTGCAACAAGGAGAGACATGTGGGAATAATCTTCTACCTGGAACTTCTAACAGCTCCGTAACTGTTCCACAGTCTCCTGGCCAAGAGCTACATTTTGTGGAACGTAATGACGCATTTTACTATGCAAAAAATGTCCAACAGCCTTGTAAACAAAGAGGCGAAGAAAGTACCTTATTCTGCTTTCTAACTGTTAACTCTTGAAAAGTGTGAATTTGTAAGGTGGAATAAAGTCCAAGGTGTTTAATTATTGGGGGAAAAAATCTAGTCTTTTTTATGTTTGGAAATATTTTGTCGGGTATTTTTTTAAATATAAGTTTATTTTTGTATCTGGTTGAGCCCCTGATTGAATAAGGCTTTTGTGTTCAAATCCACAACTATAGTTGTAATGTTATTCCAATAAAAGCTCCATTGCCATTTTTAACAATTTAAATTCACCAGTATTCTCCTCAGTTTTTAGGATTTTCCAATTTATAATATCCTCATATCCTATATTTTCTTGGCTTTTTTACGTATAATACATCTCAATAAACAGTGGATGTTTATCATGTGCAAATGTATGGTATTGATGCAAGACGTGTAGGCCTTGTGATAAACATGTACTATAATCAACGTCATCACATGTCTTGACAGAACGACACTTCATTGCTATCCTAAGAAACATACTTGAATATTAATATTTATTTGGTGAATATGTTGCTGGTATTGAGCATGATTTTCTAACGTTTCATATCATATTTTGTAGTTTAATTAAAATGCTCCGATATAAATCATACAAGCACTCCCTACTTTTTAAACGCAATGCGCTCATGGAAATCCCGTTGTTGTTCGGACCCTATTTTCCCATAGACTTTCGAAACAGTCGAGGTGTTTTTCCTTGTATCAGCCATATTTAACAGGGTTTAATATGTACAAATCCTCAAAAACACTTGAGAATAACAGAATCTCCACGCCAAATCACATCTGAAAAACCAGACTGACTCTGCTCAAAAGTGTTCGGAGTCATGTCGGGAGATGCGTTGTAAATCAAGTTACTGTGTCGTAAATCGATCCATGGTGGCATTATATAGACGTCGTAAATGTGGATCATAGTAAGTCGGACCGTCGTAAACTGGAGACCGCCTTCTTTATAACATCAAGCCAAAACTCACATTTCATTAATACTGACCGGCTGTTTATTTACCAGTATCTGCTATTTTAAATGTTGAAAAATAACATTTGTAGTAACTGCATTATAAAATTCACCAGCATCCAACACTGGGGCCTTTATTGGAATTTCCTTTCAATTACAGTTTAAAAATTGTACATTCAAGAGCCTTATTCAGCATTGATCAATGTTAAAATGAACAAAGTTCCATGCGGAACACGAAGTCACTGTGGACTCAAAATAGTTGCGGAAGGCCAGCGTTCAGACTGTTAATTTCCGCATGGATCACAGCAAGCGTGCCAGCGGTTCCCAGGGCACGAGGTGTCCGTCTCAAATGTGCAGCCTCGATGTGTTTCAGCATGTCAAACTCAAATCGAATGGTGTGTTTCTCTCCCGCCTGCCAGTTTGAGTTACTTAACCATTTTATAAAACCCGTGTGAGCCGGTATTGTGGAAATCGTGACTAAGGACTGCTTCTGGGGAATCAACAACTTAAATCGTCTAAAGCCTTATGGTACCTTCACTGAAAATAAAACTTCCTCTGAGACCTCGAAGTAGGCACGATACAATTAAAGGTAAAATGTTATTTGGGTTTATATTTTATCTAAATGTAACCACATCTCAAGGCGCTGTGCTAAAGCAGCGGGATGTTACGGAGAAATAGGAGGTGCAAAAATACAATTTACTTTCGCAAGATCCCGTTCATCTGCAAAAGTAGTCAAAAATTTTAGACTGTGTGACTTGTAAAGCGGTATTCAGGGCACCAATTTTTTTTTAAATGGCCTGATTGTTTATAGGTTTTAGGTGTTACTGCCTATTTAATATTACTTGTTGAGAATTCAGTCAGTTGGGTCTCATCTTTATTTAGAAACTATATCAGAGCTAAAACATTGCTGTCTTAAGATACTTTAAGAGCATTATGAAATCCATCTCTTGAATATGAAAGCACATGTAAGGATCCGATAGCAAAATTAATGTGCTTCATCCAGGAAAGCCTCACCCATTCTCAAATCACTTTTTCAAGAGGCTCCCCTGTTAGGACGTTTCGCCAATTGCATATTAATGCAGGCTTTTCTTGTCAGAGGAAATCGGAGTACCCCAAAATAACACGTTTAAGGTCCTGCCATTTCCTGGCCAGCGGGTGTTTTGGGTGTTTCACAAATCTACACGATTAATCAACCCTTGCCTCCAAAGTACCATGGTACAGGCACGCTCCGCCGCACCCAGCCGCGTCGCCAGCAAGGTGGACGCCTCGTGCGATGTGATCACACGCGACTGTGTTGTTCAGCAGGGCACTGTCGACGACATGAGGCTGGTGTTGGGCGGAACGTTGGCTCGAGTCGGAGCCATCCAGGAATGCTCCTTTCAAGGAGATGCGGACATCCACAACACCGGTGTGGCTCGCTCTCACTCAACCACCTCCACGTCACCGTCAGTCAACCACCTCCACGTGACCATCAGTCAACCACCTCCACGTCACGATCAGTCAACCACCTCCATGTCACCGTCAGTCAACCACCTCCACATCAACATCAGTCAACCACCTCCACGTCACCATCAGTCAACCACCTCCACGTCACCGTCATCATCATCAGTCGCATCAGGATCATCAGCACAATTTTATTATCGTTTAGTCTTTTTTAGTCTTTTTTTGATATTATAAGGCACCTATATACTTGACACAGATACCAGAATATAACTACAACTACGTTAAGTATATAGGTAAACACACATACAAGTAATAGATCAACAAAACTGTTGTTTTAAATATGTGGAAGCACACTACGTATGCCCTTTGTATTTATATATTTACTACATGACTGTTTCCAGCAATATTATGTGAGCATGCAACTTATGCACTTTCCTCATCAGTCTCCAAAATTCCACTTTCTATTGGCTGCAAGCATTGGTGCTGCCATGCAGTGAGAGATGTTCTTTGCCCATCATATATAAACATACCCTTTGCGTAATTCAACTCATATTCGTGAGGCAAACGTCGTCGTCGTTGTTATTCCCTGCACCAGTTTTGAGACGCTACCATGGTGGTGTCGTGGTCAGCAGGTTCGACTCGCGATCCAGAGGTCGCCGATTCAATCTCCTTCTGCGGGCAGTTGAAACAATGGGCGGGTTTCTTCAATCCGCTCCCTGCCTCTGTTTCCCGAGCAGCATAAATGAGCCCCCCCCCACCCCCAGTTAGTCAATCAGCATGCCGCATGTGATTAGTTAAAGTGTAGGTACTCTCATCTTTTACCAAGATGTCTGGCCAGTGACGAAGAATCGAGTAAATCTTCTGTAGACGACCTCCCTATGGCTCCCTTGCTGTGGAGGTCCTTCCACCAACTTTATTCCGGCTCTGATGGATACATGTTACGTAATATGCATATAGGCACAGCGCAAACCATTCACTCGTCTGAATTAAAATGTACACGTTGCGAGAGTTCCAGGGTGCTTGCAAACATCAGAGCATGTGATTGTTTTTATTGTCTGTCCTGCTGAAGATCATCCTTTGGAGATCTTTGTTTTTTTTCCGGTGATCACTTTGTCACTCACATTGCCCCAGCATTCAACCGTGCATCTTGGACTGCCGTCAAAGTACAAAGCTACTAGATGATACCTTCATAGACACCCTCTGGTTCACCGGTAGTGTTAATGTATCCTTGAAAGATATCTCGCGAAGATTATAATAGCGCTCTCAAGTTTACCAACTGTTAAATATTTGGTCTGATGTGCGTTACGGTTTAGCAATTGAAAAAAAAACAATGCTTTGTTCATACACGAAGACAATTTCAGTACAATTATTTCCACTGGAGTGTGGACGAATTAAGAACAAGTTTAAGCAGTTCAAATGTGCGCACACATAAGTGTGGGTGCAGTCATTGCAAGCTGAGTCATCAAGCGTAGTTTTTGCACATCAAATTATAGTTGCGTGCATTCTATCACGGTTGCATCACAGCAGAAAATCTCCAGTCAAATACCCCAGGGTGTCCTTTGGATTTGTTATATTTTAACACGGCACACCTGGCATAGCGTTCGAGGCATGCTGGGCAGGTGCACTGCATCAGAGTAAAATTCAAAAGCCAAAGGAGTTCTGAGAACAGCGTTTTGGCAAATAGCACAACACTTGTACGTTTAGCGTTAAATACTGGCTCGCCGAGTCCTGGGCTTGTGAATGATGCCACGGTATGTCTTTGCGGCAGACTGAATATGTTTCCAGCAATATTCCTCAACATTACCCAAAACAATCCAGCATCTTGTGCTTTTGAACTCTTGCGATCAGCACACTCAGATGCAATTACGTTCGCAACAAAGGTCGTCATTGTGGACTTTTTAAAAAAAATTTTTTTACAGTTTATTCACCAATTGTATGCCAATTTTTCAATTTTGTTTCAGCTAATAGGGCTACATGGTTCATTTCTGAGCACAGATCGAAGCATGTATCACTTTTACCAGTAGTGTGATCCCACAGGATTTGCTCAATTCTGATTAAGGATCTGTATTATACAACTTAAAGACTGAAATCCTCACTCTTCAACTGTCTCTAAAATAAACCATCGGAGATTAAACTGACCAAATAGAGCACACAATGCATCGAAAATAGTTGTTGGTAATGCACAGGGGACGGCAACCAAAATAACAAGAAGAGACATTTTTGTTCAAATTCGGTGAAATAAAAAAACCTCGATATTTCAAAAGCCGCAATGCCGTGTGAATACGAGATGGTGGCCCTCGATAAATAACGGTCACGAAGCGGTCCTTAAAGAGCCACATGCAGCTCTGGAGCCACAACTTGCCGACGACCCCTGGTGATGCGCTACACGCGAAAACCCCGGACCAGAACCCAAGATATCCTCAGCAGCGGCTCAGTCGTCTGCCATGCCATTACAACTTTAGCTCTATGAAGCCACTCACTTAATCATTGTTTTAGAGACATGCGGTTTTTCGAAGATGTGTTCCCGAAGAACCATCGCAATAATTCTAGATTTGAAGCTTTCGTGACTGCAAGGATTCATACTGTTAGGTTTTTTTTGGTAAAGTCACGTAGGTAAAAAATTAAATTAAAAGTGAATAAAAGTAATAATGGAAATAAAATAATAAATCACGACGTTTCGGAGGCAACACAAGTCTCCGTCATCAGGTGGGACCGTCACAGCTATTATTATTACTGATGCAGTAAAACTAGCTGTGACGGTCCCACCTGATAACGGAGACTTGTGTTGCCTCCGAAACGGCGTGATTTTTATTATTTTATTTCCATTATTACTTTTATTAACTTTTAATTTTATTTTTGACCTACGTGACTTTACCGAAAAAACCAAACAATATACATCGCAATAATATTGCCTAAAGCCACATCCCTCCTTCCTCGGCTGTATGACACTCGGTGCTGCGCGTGATCAGACTGCGCCGTTTGTCTGGTTCGCATTTGCAGCACATGTCATAGTGGTTGGAGGAAATGTCAGTGGTGCCAAGCAGCCCAGAGCCCTCAACATGTGGGTATATCTGCGTCAACGCAAGCTGCGGCCGCTCCATTCGTAAACGTTCCACCGTAAAATCGGCACAAAGGCTCCCTCTGTGGTGTATGGAGACGCAAATGTGCTGCTCTTTGGCTGAGAGTCAAACGTGTCAGTAGGCTAAACTGGCGGAGATGTTCCTTCCTGCACCGTGAAAGGACGTGACAGAGTGTGCGATGTAAAATTCCCCCACGGTTGTTTTGGTTCCAGCGTTGGGGCACATCTGGGTGTAACCAGCCCAGCTTAATGGCCTGGATGTTTGTTTTTTTTGTCCTTGCAGAAGGTCTAACAAACAATTCCACGGCTTTCGAAACGTTGCTTGGGAACGCGATAGGCTGGATGTGCACGACTGTCTCACTTTGACCGTACGTACGTGTTCCAGGCGGCTGAAAATGAGAAAAATGTGTGCGAGTTGCAGGCCTCTAAATGAAACCAGTTCTGGTGAGGAACGTTTGAAAGAATGTTAAACATTACTAGGGTCTTTAGTTTTATTTTTGTACGTGGTTTTTGTCATTGTTGACTACATTTGTTATTGGATAGCGGCAATTTACACCAAAAACATTAATATATTCACTTAGATTCAATATTCCGTTAAATGTGACGTAAGAGATGTGTTTCTAGAATAAAGATGTACTTGTTTTAACTATAATGCATACTTATTCAATACGAATATTAACATTTGAAATATTTCTGTAGTTAAAGGACCACTCCTGGCACCTTGCAAGTGTCCCTATTAATCCATCTCTCGACTCTGCTAGACAATTAACGCGTCCAACCAACAAACCGCACGTTCACTGTTTTTTCTCAACGAGCATCATTTACCTTTGCACGAGCACAATCAAACTACTTTCGATATAGCACATCATTACTGATCCTCTGCGTAGGACTTGGAGCAATATACCCACATGCCCGTGGAAGGCCATAGCGGCCTTCGGGATTTGCAATGAAAACTTCCCAAACCCCGTGGCAATTGCTGGCTTGCAGGCGGCAGTTGGGTGCAATCAGGACACTCGGTGTTTCCACCGTGGACGGCTGTGAATGGCCAATGACTTTATCAATCCACTGCTGCATGAGGATCCGTGGGGGTTATTTTTTACTGCACTACACTTCTCCACGCCGGTGGGGATGGGTGAGTGAAGGCAGGGCGCATAGACGAGGACGCATAGAAGTACGGTACAACAATGATCCGCTGGCTTCTGGAACCCACAACACGGCCCTGCAGCAGCCTATAGCAGCTGTTGTTAATGGTTGTCACAAATCCAATCACCATCCATGGTGAGTCTTGCTTGCCTTTGGATATGCGATGAGATCGGGTGTATTCGTGTGATTTGGTTAAAGCAGCGCTGCTCCGTGACCTGGAGCTGTCGGCAAGAGCCCTCCGTCAACACCGTGGGCCTGTTCGGTGGAGTTACAGGACATTGTGTGAGAATATTGTGATGTTGTTGGTGGATTGTGGGTAATGAATAATACATAAGTACATATATAGATCAAATTTGACCACGTTATTTAAAATATATACAATAGGCAGACATTGGAAAATGCAATCTTTATCCTCAACTTGAACAGAAACCAATAGTAAATGGAACAGATGGTCCCTGTGATAAGAATGAAGGTTCCCATTCAAGATTGCAATCGGCCAAATATCGTGTGCGCGTGTATATACTGCATACACCACATTTGTAAATACTGTAATTACATCTCAGTTCGCTCAAGAGACGAGGTATAAAAACAAATGTGCTGGTGTAAATTCGATAAGCATCACAGGATCAAATCAGGTCAGCGAGAGCCCCGAAAGAAAGGGCAGCGCAATATCCTGCAGCGCCACGTCAATGCACCGTCCTGTGCACAACTTCCCTTGAGACGCAACATCTGTGTGTCCTCTTCCCCACAGAAGTCGTTTCCCTTCATGCGCAGTCGCTTAAGATGCGGCCGCATTGAGTCGCTTTACACATTCGAGTTGCATTGTATCATCTCCTCTACTGCAATGGGGATTTGGTAACGACAATGTCGTGGTATGGTCCTGAGATTGTTGTTGTTACCCAAACTTGCATTTTGTGTTGACAAATCGGCAGGAATTTAGATACTTTTGCAATTTGTACTTTCTACTTTATGTATAGTTATTTATTTTAGTGACTTGCCTACCCTTTCTCTATCTTGCTATTGTATCGTTTGTGTGTGTGTGTTGTTTGTTGATGTAACTTGTTGACCCGGTCTCTACTGGACATCTGTGAAAAAAAGCTTTAAAGCTCATCGGATTCCTTCAGTCGAAATAAAGATTCCGAATAAGGGGACATCAACACTGTTACTGCTATTTAGTTCAGTTGTGAGCAATCTTAAGGTTTAGGGTGTGAACAAAGACATTGGCATACTTTGGGCTCTGTGTCACCAGAGTCGATATCTCAGTGTTCCCTCTTGGATCGTGCCTTTGGAGCCGTGAGCAGCTGCAACATTCAAACGGTGCCCACTGGCTTCGTGGTGAACCGTGCCAACCAGCAGGTGCTCATTGCTCGCCTTGGGCAGCAGTGCCCCGTATCTCAAACACTGACATTTAAATTTCGATTTAAAGCTTTCGTGACTGCAGGGATTCATCTTCTTGGTTCTTTCGGTAAAGTCACGTAGAAGGGAAGTAATAAAATAATAAAAATAAAACATAATAAAACAATTCTCACGACGTTTCGGCTACAACGCAAGCAGCCGTCTTCAGGTGAAGAATGAGACAATGCCAAGCTAGGAGCTTATATATAAGCTGCGTTGGAGGTGGAGGAAAGAGCGCCTTAACAAAAGAATGTGCATGTGAAGAGGAATTTAGCATATTCATGGAAAATGCGTAGGAGGTGGGCGGGGGGGTTTCAAAGTCATATTATGCCCATGCATTATGCAGGATCAACAGCACCAAGGGGGGGGTGCAGGGATTAGCAGTAACAAAGGAAAGGAATGTTAATGATATGTAGCTGCAGTTACTCAACCACCACGTAGAAGACTAAAGTATAAACTACATAAAAAACTAAAGTATAAATAGCATAGCACCATCAGTATACTTACTATACTCTACACTAAGCTGAGTTACTAACAGCAAGTAATACATTACAATTCTACGTCGTAAAAATTATATAATATGCTTCCATCTAAACTTTATTCTATTGCATCAACGAGCATATACCGTACTATATACTGCCAACATTAAATTATATACTGTATTGCTGTAAACCAACCTATATCTTATACATTTAATATAACACTATGTATTATTCTACCCACCCTAATGTGTGTCGAAATGGTTTATTACGTCCTTCCAATGATTGCTAAGCCAGAATCCATCTTCTCGGTTAAAATTGTCTCTGTGTTTGTATATGTGGATCGCCTCATGAACGAATCTCTCATGATAGCCAGATGGCTTGCAGAGAACCTCTGTCTTGGAGAAGTCAATGTCATGTGAGCCCACTGAATTGTAACAGTGATCTGCCACGGCTGAGGTGTTTGTCCTACCGTGTTTCAGGTCTGCCTTATGTTCACGGATGCGGTCCGAGACATGTCGTTTGGTTTCTCCAATGTAACTGCTACCACAGAGGAAACTTAGTTTGTAGACGCCAGGGTACTGTATGTCTGGAACCACATCTTTTACAGACGGGACCAGATCACGGATTTTATGTACTGTGTTGAATCGGACCTGGATCTTGTGTTTAATCAGGATTTTGGAGATCTTTTTTGTGACCCCAGCAATGTAGGGTAAGGTGATGGTCTTGAAAGGCTCCTCAACAGGATCCTTCTTGATGGTTGGAGTGATGGCTTTGCGGATTGTGTAGTCGGAGTAACCATTAGCCTTAAGAGCTTGGCGTACGTGTTTGAGTTCACTGGAAATGTGTTCATGGTCGGAGATGCATTGGGCTCTATGATATAGAGTCTTGATGAGGGAATTCTTCTGGGATGGATGGTGGTGGGAATCCGGTTTTAGATAAGCATCCGTGTGGGTGGCTTTCCTGTAGACAGAGTGGCTCATTGAACCATCAGGTCTCCTTTTGATTAGGACATCCAAAAAGGGTAGCTTGCCATCATTTTCGACTTCCATGGTGAATCTGATGGCTGGGTGTATGGAATTGATGTGGTCGAGAAATTGGTCTAGAGCCAGATGACAAAAGTGTCGTCTACGTACCTCTTCCATAAGGTCGGGCGTAGAGTGGCAGTCTGGATGGCGTCCGTCTCAAATTTCTCCATGAAGATGTTGGCTACAACCGGAGATAGGGGGGAGCCCATTGGGGTGCCCTCAATTTGCTTGTAGAAGGTTCCATTCCAGGTGAAGTATGTATTGGTTAAGCAGTGTCTCACCAGGGGGGGTACCCCAGCATTCAGTCCTTGATGAACCAAGTCTTCAATGATTGCGATGGTGTCAGGCACAGGCACCTTGGTGAACAAGGAAACCACATCAAAACTGACAAGCAGGTCGTCTGGGGACAGGGCAATCCCCTTGATTGTCGATACCAGGTCAGTAGAGTTTAGTACTGCAGAGGTGGTTTTTCCAGTGAAAGGCCGTAGGATTTCGGACAAAAAACGAGCCAGTTTGTAAGTGGGGGAGTTGATAGTAGAGACAATGGGACGAAGAGGTGTATCTTCTGGAACGCGTACAGCCCGTTTGACGACCACTGCTGGATGAGGGCCTCCCCGCACAGTGCGGAGAGCACGGGTTATTTGACCATTCTTCATTTCATTTTTTATTATTATTATTATTATGTATAGCCCTGTTATGGCGGATTAGTCAAAGTGGTGGGGGGGGGAGTACAAAACAACAGTGCATCTTGTGGCACTGCCCTGTCTAACCACGCCTGTGTTAGTCCTTAGTGGTCACCCCTCCGAGCACTATGCCGGCCCCAGCCTGCTTAGCTGCGGAGATGTGATGGGATCAGGAACATTGTAGATCGTTTGACTATTGGCACACGTGAGAAAGCATATTCACTTTCTAACATTTAATATAACTCTGTAGAATGTTTAAACACAATCTTTGGTTCTTAAAACATTTAAAGTTGTTGTGAATAAACACATTTATTTGGTTAGAAAGTTATAAACAATTGTATTCATGCTCATTTTCAAGGCTTTTGTCCAGAACAAATAATACCACAAATATGTTTTCACTCTGAAGCACATCCGCATAAAACTATCTTGAAATGCCCGTGAATGTAGATGACACAGAAATCCAACTTAGTTTGTGACATTAATGACCCTGCAACAATTGCAACTCCACGGCTACGTCTGTGTAATGATGCAGTAACAGAATATCATGGTTACAACCAAGTGAAATGCAGCCAGCAAGTTTCCCATATTTTGCGTGGCATCCTTGACTGTGCCGAATCCATAAAACACACCCACTCATTGTCAGAGTGGCTTTAAAAGGATTGCAGCCCAGGGCTTAAACCCGTGACCTGGGGGGTTGTGTAATTATGGGAAATTGGCCACTTAGCTAAAAAATAAGAAGCTTCATTCATATTTAAATAACGTCAACTATTAGAGGTAAGGCACTTCGTCATGTAATAATTTAAAGGAAGTCACGACCCAAAAGACAAATAGCTTACTTTTCTTATAAATGCATTCTTGGGCTGTCTGATATACACTGTAAGCTTTGTTACGGAAGATAAAGACTGAAGCTATGGTCATTGCACATCATAGTGCTCCAGTGACATCGCTTCAACATCTCTCTTGTACATCAACAACAAAAAAACTCAACACATCCATCAATAGCACTGTCACCTTAAAAGGAAACATTTGACCCTCCGTCTTTGCACAAACACGTGCTTTACATCACTGCAGTGATATCATCGGAGCGCTGTGACGATGCTCCTTAGTTGTAACTTTAAAGCCACACATTTGTGTTGGACAGACTGGGATGCAGGGTCCATGTTTCTATCTACGAGACAAGCGATACTTGCTTTGTGAGCTGTAGCTTCATTTCACTCAGGTACAAAATTGTAAACACAATTGGATGCGTCGTCTTTACATTGATGCATTTTAGCAGCTTCAAATGTTGCGATGTTCGTGAACTGCCTCGTTTTTTTTTACTTTTTTTGTTGCAGCCATGGAAAGAGGACTTTTATAAATGTGTTAATCCGATGCTGTATTAATATGAATGTAAGTATGAATATATTATATCCCTTGAGGCTGGTTTTCAGTTGCTAATAACCTCGTATTTGGCAAACAGTAACTTGTTTTGTTTGGAGTTGTTCAGTGACTAAAAACATAATTGTTGTGTTTTTCCTCCTTTTTAGTTAATGGTGCCAACATCTTAAGCGTATCATTGCTGGGTAAGTTATCTCACTGATCATGCAAAGATCCCCTTTATAAAATAATAAAAATAAAACATAATAAATTATATTATTATATTATTTTATTATGTTTTATTTTTATTATTTTATTACTTCCCTTCTACGTGACTTTACCGAAAAAACCAAGAAGATGAATCCCTGCAGTCACGAAAGCTTTAAATCGAAAAAAAATCCCCTTTATAGTCTTAACAGACTGTTGGAGCAAGTGCTATTAGAGAGCGCTTATGAAGGCCGGCACGGTGCACGAGGGGGTGGGTGGCCAACACCACGCCCGATCGCCTTTATCTCCTTGGTCGCTGATGTTTACACACCACACCAGGTACTCATTTAAGGCTGAGTCGACCTAGGGGAGGCCCAAGACTGGTACTACTGATGAGTCCTAATGAAACTGGTCTACAGTTGTCTTGTTTCCCTGCAGCCCTTTGGTTGGGATGGCCACATTTTCCCAACTATTGTGAGTTGGTGACCTAAACGCCAACATAGCCACACACTCAGGCCTTTTGAGCTGGTGATGTGGATACAGCTGAGTGATTTTGTACGTAAAATGCACACCTTTGTGTGTTGCTAAGTCTAGATTCACGACAGCAGTCGGCATGACCATCTTGATAGTGTTACACTTGACAAAACTGGTGTTCAGATGATGAGTATACACCTACAAAACCTACAGCTCGGCAACCTCCCCATTGCTAGCTAATAAATCAGTGTTCTGCTTGTTTATTTCGATGCATTTAAATGTTAACATCTGTTCAGAATTTTTTGTCATCATTTTAAAAGTATTCATATTATTCGAAATATGTTTGCATATTCTGGCTCATGACCTGCACGTTGCTAAAAAAAAACAGGATAAGCAACACTCTTTACGGAGGTTTTGAGAAGCAGAGCTACTATTGTTTTTACGAGTACAATTTAACTTATAGTGCAGTCACAGTATCATGAGATGGCATACCGGTTTTGTTTTAGACTCCAGTCGTGTTCTCTTGTGAAGGCGGTACAGAGCAAGTGGCCTCCACCCGTTCCCTTTCTATGTAGAGTTGCCCCCGGTCACGCGTGGGTTTTACTCCGGGTGCTCCGATTTCCTCCCGCATGTGTAAACACTTATTAATTGGTTGATGAAACCTTCATATGTATACAGAGGACCGCCAGATATTAGAAATGTGATGCCGGCACGCCACTCTGCTATCCTCCCGATTGTCAGCGGTTCCTCGCGCCTCCGACTTGCTCGTTCTCTTCAAGTCAGAGAATACCGTACTGTGAAGTGAATAATTCTTGGAAAGATGTGATTTTTTTCAACGGTTTTACTTAACTTGACTCCTGTGTCGTGGTCAAATCTTGTAATCAAAATTATGTGTACTTCCTGTTGTCCAATCAATTCCAGATTTTTGCACATGTACTCAGATCCGGTGACAATGCATGCCTGTATCAAATTAATCAATTAATTCGCTACTTTAAACCAATTTACATTTTGTATGGAGGCCTTATTATTTATATATATTGTAGGTCAAAAACGCTGCGGTCCCTAAACTCTCGAATCGCCTCGCCCAAGAACCAGGCGCCACGTGTCTCAGGCACGCCAGTTGTGAATAAAACCATTGTTTTAAATATATATCTTTTTAAGGAGTTTTTCCTTGTTTTTGGTACAATTACACCTCTTTTCCACTGCACAACTGAACCGTGCCAGGGCCATGCCAAGCCAGCCAGATGTCTTTTGAAGCCAGCGTATCAAGATTTGTGTTCTGTCATGGCTCGGCAAATAGCCAGTGGAAAACCATCCATGTTGTAAGCACCCCACACTGGCTTTCGCTCGGATCTGTCAGTGGACAAAGGGTGTTTATTTATTCATTTACTTTTCCTGTCTTCTCCGGGATCCACAGGCGAGCACATGGCCCAGCTGGTGAATCAGATGACACTGTTTAACCAAGCCATGCGGCAGCTGAGCCAGGACTACGCGTGACCAGGCAAGCGGCGCACAGCACGCGCATCGGGCGCGGTGCTGTCCTCACAGCGCATCTCTTTGCTATACCTCATTGCCCGTCAGGGATATGGGCTGCCACGAGTGTGCGTGCACGTGAGCCAGCGTGTGCGTGCTGTTATGCCGACAACCTAAGACTCGTTCGGTGGAAAGTGGCATGAAAACTTGTCTCGGACCTGCCCTATGTCAATTTATCCTTTAAATCTGCATTGTATAAATGTCAGCAAACGGGGAGACAAAGTCAACTTGGCATGGGGCTGGCTACACTATCATCTCGTGCCTTACGCCAGTATTAATAGGTGCTTGCTCCACATATAGCTGTAAGGTGAAATGTGTGTGTGTACAAATGAGTGCGTATGCTCTGCAACGTGTGTCTATGAAGTCTACAATATGTTTCTGTGTAAACATTTGTGTCACTTGTGAATAGAACTGGTCATTTCTCAATTTAAGTATTCATTGACATCTGTTACTTGTAATTTGGAGTGTTTTAGATTTTTTTATAACATTAGCAACCTCCAACAGTGTTTCGTTTTCATCCACCCACACACACCGGGTTTGCATAATTGATTTATCCTGTACTAGATTCAACTGCATCATCTCACAAAGTGAGCGTGTGTGTCGATGTGCATGCCTACGTCTGCCTTAACATGCCTAGACATATTTTGTTCGGCCAGATAGTGAGGGATAAATGGGCGCAGTACGGGCTAGAGAAGAGATGAAACGACGTGGTACAGGAGGATGTGGAGCTAAATGGACTTGCCGACGGCTGGTACCAGCGATGTCATGATCGGCCTCTGTGGAGGAGGCTCGTGAAGGACGCTACTGGGCAGTTGGAGGGCAGAAGAGTGATGCTCACAACAACCAGCGGAGCGCCAGGTGGCTAAAGCACAGCAAGTTGGCACAGTAGAGGTCACAGGTGGTGCATCAACCAGTCATCTCAGTCAGGAAATTCATGGCACCTGGGTCTGTCCCATGACCTCCTGCCAGTGGGCGTTCGACACTTCATGTGGCCCTAGCCTGGCACAAGCGCCGTGGTGACGTCACCGCCACTTTGTGACGAATGGCGGTTGCCGTTGTTGTTGTTGCCTCCGTCTGAGAATGCTTGTGCGTGTGCACATGCTTCTTGTGCAGCCTATTTGTCAGGGCCACCTCACACCTTGCAGGCCATGGGGGATATGTGGTGTTACTGTCGAGAGATGTTTTGAAATGCTGTGTTTGAAACAGGGTACAGATGCATGGTGCTGGTGAGAGCCGCCAAACCAAAATGCATGTGTGATGTTCTGACACATCACCATCACTGTGCCTCGTCACACCATCGCTCATCTCAGAAGCTAAGCATCCTTGAGCCTCGGTCACACTTGGATGGGAGACTATCTGGAAATACCAGGGGTTGTACGCTGGAGCTGTGAAGTGGTCGTAAGATGACAGTACAGCAGCAGATTCTTGAATCTATCTGTGTGGAGCTTTCAATGTTATTTCCTTTGTGCGCTTGGGTTTTTTATGGTTACGGTATTCTAGTTTCCTCCCACGTGCCAAAACGAACTCAGATTTACTTGATCCAAATGTATCACTTGCAATACAGTAAAGTTTTTAAACTATTGAACTCTTAACTAGCTATCTATCAACTTTTTATTTTACCAGGCAAGGCCCACTGAGCTATAGTGCTCTTTTTCAGAAGCGACCTGGCCACAAATGATAGCTCAACAAAGTGGCTTATAATCTGAAAATGTACAGCAGCCAAATACTCTAAACGCATGTTTCTAAATGTGGAGAAAAAAAACCAGAGGACCCGGAGAAAAATCTATGCGACCATGGGGAGAACATGTAAACGCAACATATACAAATCAGGGTCGGGATCGAACCCATTACCTCCTGTATACCAGACGAGGTAGTTAACATCTCATCACCATGGCGTCTGATAAATTTTATCCCATGAACTCAAAACGTCTGTGTCTCTACAGAACAAAATAATGCTTGATCCATCAGTCTATAGGTCTTCTGGACCAATGTTTAACGGCAAAATTTTGTTCATCAAGAAAACTGAAGACCAAAATCGCCTTGGTGAATCTCATGAGAATTAGGCCTGTTAAACAAATGATACTGTATTTTTAAATGTTATGACTAAGAGGACTTTGCTTAAGCTGTGGGGTCCATTCAGCACGGAACGTTACATTTGCAACCCTCAATATATGCTGTTATAGAGAATCGTGAGTAACATATAAACAAATGAATACGCAAAATCCACGTGAAATAACATATTTGTGTCAGTTCATCAGCCCATGGACCGAATGTTAACCATTGGTCCGAAGAGCTATAGGCTAATGAACTAACACACATTTTTGTATTAATCCACAATTTTATTCCACTGATGCTCTTAATGCTACGTCTAGAAATTGAGATACAGTACTGTATATCCATTCACAATTCCTGCACAGTGGTGAATAACAACCACACTGTGCCGTGGAATAGCCCGTGTAAGGTGATATCACAGAACTACTTCTGAGGTCCCTTCAAGTGACCCCTTATCCACCGCAGGGTCGCTCCTCTTCCTCACAAGATGTTTAACACGAAACTTTTTTATTTGAGCTCTCCGGCCTGGCGTTTTGCCAATTTGATTTAAAAAACAAAGTCAACACGGCAACTTTTCGTGCAGGCTTTAGAGATGGGGCTAAGGCCATGACCTCACTACACTTGAGAGCCTGCTCCAATCATAGACGGCTTTAACCCAGATTAAAGCCAGGTAATCAGCCACCGGCATAGTGCCCTGACTTATAAGCCACCTGGTTATGTTTATCTGGACAAGTGACGTTGTATTCTTGGTTCTTTCCGTAAAGTCACGTAGATAGAAAACTAAAATATAAATGAAAAGCAAAAAACCTGCAACGTTTCGATCGCAACACAAGCTGGTCTTCTTCTCCACCTGAAGAAGACCGCTTGTGTTGCGATCGAAACGTCGTGGGTTTTTTGCTTTTAATAAAAAAACATCTATCTGAAAGAACCAAGAATATTAATTCCTGCAGTCACGAAAGTTTTAAGTCTAAATGAAGTTGTGTTTGTTCAGATTGTAGCACAGTCGGCTCGCTCCCAGTTTAAAACGAAACTATTATCTAAACTATTTTTTTTATTTAACCAAGTAAGGCCCACTGAGCCATATAGCTCTTTTTCAGAAGCAATCTGGCCACAAATTATAGCTCAACCAAGTGGCTTATCACGTGGAAATTTATAGCAGCCAAATACTCTCACCGCATGTTGATTCTAAATTTAGAGGTAAAAAACCAGAGCACCCGGAGAAAAATCCACACGACCACAGGGAGAGCATGTAAACTCCAATCATATAGCTGTCAGGTTTGGGATCAAACCGATGACCTGCTGTATACCAGGCGAGGTAGTTAACATCTCACCACCGAACTGTTAACCCCTTCCCATGACTTACGTGTACGTCATCAGTTTTTCTTCTAATTCCGTTCTGAAGTTCGTGCAAATTGCCATGTGGAAGGGCGTGTGGCACCGTTTGGCACCAGATATCATAGAGTGCGGTCGTGTCACTACAGTTCTTTGCAGTGAGTACAATGTCTTTAAAAACAACGGTGCTGTGCCTTTCTAAATAAAATCAACCCTAACCGCTTACACGCTCCGATATTCGGCAGTGAACGGGACCCACCCTGCAACTTGCAAACGTCTCGGAACGAAAAAGGGTTGAGTCATCGACTGAAATGGAATGTAATAATATTGCAGATCAAGGAGACAACGCTACTGAGGAATGTCATCATGGAGTGTCAAGCTTGCGGTGAGTGAACGTCTCCCCTTTACCTGCGAATTTGCTCCGCGTACTTTATTATTGGATAAGTTGTTTGCTGGAACAGCAGTAATTTACTGAGGTTAAGTGTATTGTGCCTTGTGCAGGCCATCTGTCCTACTAGATAGAGAATATTAATCGTGTGTTAATTAAGTAATGCTCTATGAAATGTTAAGCCAGCTATGGAAATGCTACATTAATTTAATGGACGTAGTCTTTTCTTTTTGTTGCAAAATTTACAGATATTCCATTTTATCGATCTAGCTCAAACCCCTAAATTATTTATATAGCTTGAACAATGGGTGAAAACGCATGGACATCCTGTATACGCTATTAGGGTTAGTCAAAAATGTCCTAGCATATGTGCATGCAAAGCCGTCCATAAGCTTACGGCGAATCGGGATGAAGGTCCTGGGCCCCGTGCTTTGGGGGGCCCCCCGCTTCATCGGGGGGTCCACACAGCAGTGTGATTTGCCCCGGGCCCCACACCCCCTCCTATGGATGTCCCTCTGTGCATGTCTATGCGCGGGTTGTGTGTGTGCGTGTGTATATGTTGTGTGTGCGTGTGTATATGTTGTGTGTGCGTGTATGTGTCTATAGTGGGGAGCGGTAGTGTAGTGGTTAGTGCGCTGCGCTATGAACCTGGCAACCCGGGTTCGATTTCCACTCACGGCCAACACCAGTGACGATTATCTGAACCGGTCCTGGGCCTCCCCTAGGTCGACTCAGCCTGAAATGAGTACCTGGTGCAGTGTGTAAACATCGTCACTGGGGAGACAAAGGCGGTCGGGCGTGGTGCTGGCCACCCACCCCCTCGTGTACCGTTCCGGCCTTCATAGGTGCTCGCTAACAGCACTTGCCCCTACAGTCTGTTAAGGCTATATGGAGGATCGTTGTCTTTTTGTGTGTGTGTGTGTATATATATGTTGTGTGTGTATATGGTGTGTGTGTGTGTTATTTTCACGGATGAAGGCTTCACGGACGGCGGGGACGCCCCGCGGTGGTCGCACTGCAGCCCCAACTCGTGCTTCCCCGGCGTCGACTGCACCGAGGCTCCCGGCTCGGCACTCGGTTTCACCTGCGGCCGCTGCCCCTACGGCTTCAACGGCAACGGCACGCACTGCGTCGACATCGACGAGGTGTGGGTGTGCTTCCCGGGGTTGGGGCCGGGGTCAGCTCAGCCCCAACACCCGGGAGAGTGTGCGCGTGTACCTCTGTCTTTGTTGTGTGAGCTTCTCCGGCAGTGCAAGGCTGCCCTTTTTGTGTTTGTTGGGTCACGTAGCCGGCATGTCCCAGCCGACGCGTGCCTAAACTTACCCCGAGCTCTCATACTCTGATGGTGCATTGTCCTTGAGTTGTGCACCTTTTGGCGTCATCTGGTCCAACACCATGTGAGACTAGGCTCTAAAGAAAGCTGTCTTGGGTGTGGACCAATCAACTTCAAGGACAGTGCACATATTATCAGAGTTATGTTTTTTGTTTGCATTCCGACTGCAGGTATTGTGGTCAATGCAAACATGACTCCTAGTAAAAAAGGTGTCAGTTTTGTTGACAGATAAAAGGGTAAAAAAACAATTGTCATAAACGGCTTTTGTTCGCTGGATAGAGGGGGGCTAAACGGGCGTGGCACGGGCCGGAGAAGAGGTGGAGCTGATGCGGTGCAGGTGGACTTGGCCGACGGCTTGTAACCAGCGGTGTCAAGATCGGCCTACTTGGAGGAGGCTCGTGAAGGATGCTGCTGCTCCTGTGCAGTTGGAGGCAGTCGCCCTCCAGGAAACGACGGAGGGCAGAGGAGCGATGCTCTCACAACAACGAGCGGAGCGCTGGGCGGCTAAAACACAGCGAGTTGGCACAGTAGGGGGCACAAGTGGTGCATATCAGCCAGTCATCTTCACCTGCTTGAAACATTCAGGCTGGTCTGCCAACGATCCATCCTGGGTTTAACCAGACTGGATTGTGTGAGGAGCTCACAGATCCTTGAAAGATATGGACACATTCCCATCAGCAAACTACTCCAGCAGGCAAGGTTAAGTTGGCTGGGTCATGTAGCCGACATGTCCAACCACCGCATGCCCAAGCAGCTTCTGTTTTGCTGCATAAAAGGGGCTAAACTAGCATGGCACGGGCTAGAGAAGGTTGGGCTGAGGTGGTGTGGAGCTGATTGGACTTGCCGTTGACTGGTACCAACACTGCCAAGATTGATTTCTTTGGAGGAGGCTCGTGAAGGACGCGACTGGGCAGTTGGAGACAGTCACCCTCCAACAACAACCAAAGGTGGATGAGCAATGCTCACAGCAACAAGCAAAGCGTCAGGCAGCTAAAACGCAGCACGTTGGCACAGAGGAGAGCACAGGTGGTGCATCTGACAGTCATTTCAGGCAGTTACCCATAACAATGTGGTCTGCCCTGTGTCAGCGAGTATTCGACAATTCACGTGACCTCAAATTGCACCTGGCCTGGCACAAACGACATGGTGACGTCACCGCCACTTAATGGTGAATGGCGGTTGTTGTATTGTTTCTTTTATTTTTATCTATTGCATGTTTGAATGTGTAGGGAGCTGTAGGTTCATTAGTTAGCACAGTGAACGATGAATCCAGTGACCTGGCGAGTGATAGCTGAGCCAGGCCTGCTCCGCCATTAGGTTAGCTGAGCCTGGTGTGGTGTGTAAACATCAGCACCGAGGAGACACAATCGACTGGGCAAGGTACTGACCATGCTACCACCCCCTGCGCCATGTCGGCCTTCAAAGGTCCTCGCTAACAGCACTTGTTCAAACAGTCGATATGGCTCTGGCTGTGTGGGGGGTCGTTGTGTTTGTGTGAGAGAAGGAAAGAATGTTGATCGTGGTGGCCTGGGTTCGATTCCTGGAAGTGCGCACGAGCCCAACGTGGTATCCCAGTGCGTGAAAATATACGCAGCAGTGGCGAGATGTTAACTACCTCGCCTGGTATACAGCAGGTTGTGGGTTGGATCCCCACCCTGACGCCTGCTGTATATTTGTAGAATGTTCTCCCCGTGGTCATGTGGAGTTTTCTCCGGGTCCTCTGGGTTTTCCCTCCACATTCAGAAACGTGCGTTTAGAGTATTTGGCTGATGCTATGAATTTCCCCGTGATAAGCCACTTCACTCAGCTATTATTTGTGACCAAGTCACTTCTGAAAAACAGCTATAAATTTAAAAAATATAAATAATTCTGGGTTTTAGTTGGTATACAGCTCATAACACATTCTTCCAGTGACTATTTAGCATATGCCCAATTTCTGAGGATATTTACATTTATATTGACCTGATTTTACCGAGGAAACAATCTATGAGTCCGAAGACTGTTTTTGAGGGGTGTCGTGCATTCAGATGTTTGGTAAATTTATTAGCAAGTCTGAGGAAACAGAAGAATAGGAGGGGATACAGCTCAAAGCTCTACACACATGGGTTATGGACAGCCAACCTTCTGGGCACCTCAGCCAAGCCGACAACACTTCCACCGGGCTCAACTCTACTTAGCTTCCAGGATCGTATGTGATTTGTTGCATTTAGGGTGATTTGGCCTTCTTGAATTTATGACTCAGCACGCTAAGCTTCAAGGCCAGGCAGAATGCATGCCAGATTTTAGTTTTTATAGCTACAGCACTGTTATAATGTGAATCTGGTCCTTGGCTCAGTATAAAATGGGTATCTTGTGTGGGGTGCTGGCATCAGCAATGGGGAGACAAAGGCAGTCAGTCATGATGTTGGCCACATCAACCACTTTTGTGGCAAGATGATGGCCTTAATTCGTGCTTACCAACACCACGTGTCCCGGCAAATTTATTCGAATAATTGTGGTCTCTTTATGAAATCTGTGAATGTCCCGCTGTGTATTGGCTCTCTAAGAAAATTATCAAAGCAAGGCTTCCTGGTCGGACCATGTAGCTGATATATGCACCTACCACTTGCCCAAAGGACTTTTGTTTGGCCAAACGAGATGGTGAATTTCGTTGCTGGCTGCACTTTTCATTCATGGACTGTTAGCCAGAATTAATTCCTCACTGAAAATGTCCCCGTTGCCGGTAGATTGAAATCGGCGCGTGACTAGTAGCCACAGCCATTCGCGAGTGGTATACAGGTCATGGTGTGCCAGGTGTGGAGATAAATTCTGTGTCGCCAAACCCATACAGACCTGGCTAAAATTAAGCCCTAGCTGTAGGTACGACTGAAGATAAACAGCGGTGTGCCAGCAGCGTTGACCTCAATAGTCCAGAGCGGACTGAAACGGGCATCGCCGCCTTTTAGTCCTCATAGTGTGAATGCGAAGTGTGTGTTGATGCGCGCGTGTTAACGCGGGTTGGCGTGTGCGTGGGGGGGTGGTGGCGCAGCGGTTAGTGCGCTGAGCTACAAACCCAACGAGCCGACTTCAATTTGCACCAGTGACGATTATCTGAACCAGTCCTGGGCCTCCCGTATGTTGACCTGGTGCGGTGTGTAAACTTCGCCACCGGGGAGACAAAGGCGGCCGGGCGTGGTGCTGGCCACTCGTTAACAACGCTTGCCCCAACAGTCCACTAAGGCAATATGGGGGGATCTTTGTCTTTGTTTGGGGTGTGCGTGGGTCGCAGTGTAAGCTTGCCAGCCCGTGTTTCGCTGGCGTGCGCTGCGTGAACGCGGCGCCGGGCTTCTCGTGCGAGCCGTGCCCGGACGGACTGGCGGGGCCTCTTCTGCAGGGGGTCGGGGTGGAGTTCGCCAAGGACACCAAGCAGGTACCGTCGTTCATCTAATAAATATATCACTATGTTCCTGGGTAGTAAGTGTTATTTTCTAATTGCTTATGCCTCAAGAGTATAGAAAATGGATATTATTCCCCCACAAACTTTGCTTTTGGTAACATAAAAATAGTTTAGTTTTGTTTGTATATTTATTTCAGTGATTTGTTTACCTTTCCTATAATTTGCACTCCTCTCGTGTTTTCGTATTGTTTGTTGCTGCAACGTTCTATTCTATGTTTGGATTTATAAAGCGCCTTTCGCCAAGGCCCCTTGACAATGCTTTTACTGACTGCGGTACAAAATGGCAAAATAAGGGAAGGATGGGTAGGGTGACCCGCCCCTACTGGACATCTATGAAAAAGAGCTTTACAGCTCATCGGATTCTTCTAGTATAAATGCATATTCTGATCATCATTAATTCACGGCTGGGCGAATCATGTCTTCATACTCGCTCCGCTGAGCACAGAGACGTGCCGCCGCTCTCCATCCCGTGCTCACGGGCTGCGTAATGTCGTCGCTCTCGTTGCCGAACCTGCTCGCTCCTTAATCTGTTCTTCTCCCACGTGACGTATCACATGTTGAATCGATGTTTGCCTCATCTTGCATTCTTGTTACATTCTTGAACCAAAGTGGATATGTTATTGTTTGACAGTTATTAAAAATAATGCCATCCTCTTTTTTAATATTTACTTACTTTGTAAGTACTGTATTTCAATTTGGAGAGGCTCTGTTTATAATTAAATCATCCTTTCAGAGGTTATACATGCACATTCGTCTTGCATATTAAATGCTTTTCCAACAAGTTGCTTTTGAACCTTGTTTTTTTAAATCAATGACTGTATTTTAAATTAAAAGCGTAACTTAAGTAACTCATATTTTGTCTCCTTTGCAAAGTAGACTTATTTTAATTCCTCGTCACCTGGCAGCCAAATGCTTTTATAGCCGACTCGTATATTCACTGAGTGTCGTTCTCCTTGTCGGTTAAGCATGTTTAAAAAATTAAACATCCCTAAAGCTGGTCCATGTCATATCACACAGCTAGCATCAAAGACACTTCGTCTAATGCACAGGCACCCACCAGATGCTCAACCAGGTGTTGTAATGTAGCGAGTTTAATGAATAGACACCAACAATGTCCATTATAAACTAGAGCAAAGGCTACGTGGTGATCTCAAGCCATCTACAAATAGGAACGTAAATGACCCAGGTCTCATCTGTGAGTCCTAAAAGGCCTCTGCATACTGCCCTGCCATTGGCAATGGAAACTCGTATTAACGTTGTATGCTCTACACTTATAGCATCAGCTTACTTCATAAACACTGGACCTAATATGTCGTCGCTTCATAATTTTGTATCAATAATTCCTCATCAGCTACCGTGATCTATCCACTGCTGGATGTAGGCGATGTAACAATCCATCTAACATCTATACACGAGCCGATTGCATCGCTTCACCTCTGCAGTGGACGTGGCATCGGGCATGCTCTCTCTCCCTTCTTTGACTACCACCCTATCGTTAGTTTTGACCACCAGCCATCATCCGGTATAGCCACACGTCTTGCCTAAGTCCTGCTTACTCGTATTAACATGTTCTCCAATCCACGTGTCATTTGTACTGATTTAGAATTGCTTGTTTGTGAGTATAGGTACATACGCACTGTGTCTGGGTAGACCGATAGCTTGCGATTGAGCGTTGCGTCTTCCCACAGGTATGCACAGACGTTGATGAGTGTCAAGATGGAAAAAATGGTGGCTGTGTCCTCAACTCCATCTGTGTGAACATCGTGGTAAGTTTTTCTCGTTACTTTCATCTTTTCTCTTCTTAATTTTATTTGCTATTTGGAACAGATTGGAAATATGATTTTAGTTCTATTGTAATAAAAATTAAGCATTATTTTTATGGTGATAAAATAAGAATAATTTACAGTGCCAGTCATGGACGGTGTTTGATGATCCTTAATGACTGTGGTCAGTGCGGGTTGGTAAAAGGTTCGGTCGGCGATAAGGTATTACTCGCTACTAATGGTAAGGTATTACTCGCTACTAATGGCTACTAATGGCTGGGACTCTAATGTTCCTAGCAAACGTTCATAATGAATCGCAAACGGAATTTACAAAAAGTAGAACACTCTTCATACATACTCTTTGGTTCTTTCGTGATTTTGGTATAACTGCCATCATTAAGAAGGTCCTGGATTTTGTTGTTGTATGTGGTTTTATCCATCATAATCGTGCCATTGCTGAAAGGATGACAATATCATCTCTCTTTTTCAATTGAGCGAGTTCAGAGCGCTCGTCCCTGCTGATGTTACTAATGGGTTTCTTAGCGTTTTTGAGGATGGTGGCGATTTCAGATCTTGCCACGTCTGCTGGGATGTGACCTAAACCTTTGAGGGCTACGTCAACCTGGGCATTGATATCATCCACTTTGACTATGGTCAAACAACCCCGATGACCGACACGGCAAAGGAACGCCATCATGCCGCAATACAATGAGAAGGGCCGTATTGGTTTTGTTAATGGTGTTGGATATTGGTTGTGGTTGTGGCAGGGCTCATATCGCTGTGGACCGTGCAAAGCGGGGTACTCAGGAAACCAGAATGTGGGCTGCCACCCCGGCAACACCTGCAACAACGGGGCCTTCAACCCATGCGACTTGAACGCGCAGTGCCACGTGGAGCGGAACGGGGACGTGTCGTGCACCGTGAGCAGCAAACTCGCAGCCACAGACGCGCACACACACGGACGTACACACACGGACGTACGCACACACACACTGACGCATGGACACACAGACACACCGATGCATGTACATGGACGCGCACACACGGACACAAGGACGCACACACATGGATACACCGATGCATGCACAAAGACAGACAGATGCACACAGACGCACACACGCATACACGGATGCACATGTGGACACACGACACGGATGCACACGCAGACGCACGCACACACAGGACGCATGTACACACGGACGCATGAATACAACGTACACATGTATGCACACAGACGCATACACAGGGACACAGATGCGGTCAAAGTTCTTACTTGTAACGAGAAAAATATATATGTGTTGACTAATCAGTTTATCCAAAGAAAAATTGGAATGTCCAATACCAGCTTTGATCTTTCCTCCATCTGGATTGTTAAGAGTTTGAATCTTTGAATGCCACATTTGGCTACAAGCAGAACTTAATATTTTTATTTGGGCAAGTAATACATTCACAGTAATTTGTAAAATATTTCTCACCCAAAAAAAATGTATGTCCTCCATTTTGCTTGGCTTTACATTCTGAGCAGACCACAATTTTTAGACCGCCTGCCTGAGCCGTGTGGAACTGGGTGGTCCTATCTGTCTGACTTTACTGGCAAGCAGCACACGAGGCTCGTACAGGAGCGTCCGTATAGAAAGTGTGGACCGTGGCAGTCCTGCAAACCCTCCTGTTGCCTGTCCCCAATATCATTGGTCAACGCGAATTATTGTGCTCACCTCAGACTCCTCCAGACCATCACCTTTAGCCCTGACTAAGTGCTGGATAGAAGTCGTGGGCGTGGCGCTAGACCCGTGCGTGCAGGGCACTGGTGCTGCAAGCACAAGTAGACAGCAGAGTGCATGACCACTGCTGTTGGAGTTGCCAAACCTCCCGGATTGGCTGGGAGTGGCTCCTGGAATTGGCATCGATCCCTCCCGGTGACTACTGAAAGCAATCCGGAGGATGTTTATAATAGGATATATTAAGCAAATAAATTGACATAATGAAAACACATCGTTCGAAAAGAAAATCATTCATTGTTAAACTATAAGATGTCACCTGATTGCGTTTTTATTTCCCTTGGCAGCGTGATGGCATAGTATAAAGGGTGGAGTCTTCAATGTCATCCTTGCAGTGGCTCTTGGCTAGCTATCGAACAAAGACTGTCACCACATCACGTGCTTTCAGATGCGCTTCTGCGACCGTCTGGAACGATATTATGAAGCCCCTGGAGCCATGCACTTTAAAATCTAGATTGAAAACTAATTTCTTTAGAACTGTTCTTGTGTTTAGTTTGTTGACCTTCCTCCGCACATCGGATTAGTACAGTTGGCTACGTACGGTGTGAAAGAAGTTCAACATGCATACATTACATCATGCTGGAAGAAAAAAAACATCTCCTGGAATAGCTTCAGTCAGAGTTGCCAACCCTAGCTGCGGTACTTGAGGGTATGCACCCTGCGCTCTGCCCGTGCATGCAGTGCAGCGCGTGCCCGCAAACACAAGCAGAGTACAGAGTTATGCGGCTGCTGCGGTACTTGAGGGTATGCACCCTGTGCTCTGCCTGTGCGTGCAGTGCAGCGCGTGTCTGCAAACACAAGCAGAGTGCAGAGTTATGCGGCTGCTGCGGTACTTGAGGGTATGCACCCTGTGCTCTGCCCGTGCGTGCAGTGCAGCGCGTGTCTGCAAACACAAGCAGAGTGCAGAGTTATGCGGCTGCTGCGGTACTTGAGGGTATGCACCCTGTGCTCTGCCTGTGCGTGCAGTGCAGCGCGTGTCTGCAAACACAAGCAGAGTGCAGAGTTATGCGGCTGCTGCGGTACTTGAGGGTTATGAACTGCTGCGCTCTGCCTGTACGTGCAGTGCAATGTGGGCTGGGCTGGAAACGGCTACGTGTGCGGCACGGATGCCGACATCGACGGCTACCCAGACGAGGCCTTGCCCTGCACGGACAACGACAAGCACTGCCGCAAGGTGAGAGGGGAACAGGGCAACCTGTGCGCCTGGTGACGAGCTCGGCACTTAACGTGCCCTGACTGGCGTTGGCTCGAATGCTTGCCCACAGTTTCTGTACAAGCAGAAATATTGTTCTATAATGACCTTGACGATAAGGGGAAGGGTTACATCGTCAATGACAAGTCAAAACACTGAACTCAACCTAAACTAAACAATTTTTTATTTTACCAGGTAAGGCCTACTGAGCTATATAGCTCTATTTTAGAAGTGACCTGGCCACAAAGAGTAGCTCAACGAAGTGGCTTATCACGTACAAATTTATAACAGCATCGAAATACTCAAAACGCGTGTTTCTAAATGTGGAGAGAAAAACCAGAGGACCCAGACAAAAATCCACGCGACCACAGGGAGAACATGCAAACTCCAAGTTTACAGGCGTCAGGGTCGGGATCGAACTCACGACCTCCTGCATACCAGCCGAGGGAGTAAACATCTCGTCACAGTGGTAGCGCCGCGGTGACGAGACACAATGCACGCAACCATATTCCTCCGACAACAAAGTTTATACAAGCGTCTGAGTTTACTGCCCTGGAATATTGTCTTGATGCACGGTAAGGAGCCATCCATTTAGTACGTACGCTAAAATCTGTCAAAAGAGATAGTCCACCGCCGGCTGCATTAAAGGATTAAGTTGCGTACCTTGGCCACTTATTTTGCTGAGCTGCGTGATAGCTGCAGTCAGGGGTCACGGTGGCACACGAGTGACACCTCTCCCACAGTCCCACTTCTCCCGGTAGTACTCATCTGACAGCTGTAGAAACTGAACTGTGGCTCATTTGAAGGCCAATGTAGACAAATTATTATCGAGGTTTCACCCCCCCCCCCCCCCCGTTTCCTATGCGTACGTACATTGTCAGTAGATCCCCCATACGCAAGCGTACGCATTTGGGTTAACCCCCCCCCCCTCCCACCTCCATGTGTACGTACTGAATGGATGGCCCCTCACTGTAATATAAATGGCAGTTTCATCAGTTCCTCTGGGTAAACTGACATCCAAATAAAAAGCTGAGGAGGCCCTCATCCGGTAAGGGATTTTACAAAAAGGCTGTGCACACTTATTTTCATCGTTATGTTAGTTATTGCCCACTACCAGACCTTGTTGGATGGAAATATCTATTATTTTGATCAATAATTCAATTTCAGCTCGCACCTCAGTTAATGTTTCGTATTTTGTAACATTACTCTTAAAAAAACATTCTCCTCTCCTCCACCGAGTAGTGCCCAGTCTGTAATTTGAGTAGTGCACAGTCTGTTGTTGGACTGCATTCAATTTGTGGCGAGCCCAAGAATAGCCCGAGCGAGTCTTATGATTGATACTTTTTGGCAACCCCATCCCATGTTACATGATGGTTCTCATCCAGCAACATCCGCACTTCATCCACAATATCATCAGTCACTCCACGGGCTTGGTCATCCAATGTTCGGCCCACGTTGGCCCCTTGCCGCAGAATAAACGGGGTTTCCACCTGCTCACTGCAGTACTGACAGCGGCAATTTCTCCACACGTTTCACACAATGTTACGTTTTAGCTAACTTTTTTTTCCTTTGCTTCTTCACTTTTAACGTTTTCTCTTTGTTCATTAAATGTCATGCGGACAATTGCCCCTGACATAGGGCACTTCAAAGAAGCGCGGAACTGATACACCCAAGCACCTCAAACATTGCGTTCTAAAATTCTGGCCATTGGGCTGAAATGAAAACAAGTGCACGTTTTGGCTGCCCTTTCATATATATATATCCAGAGTGCCTTTTGATCATAAACATGAGCAACTTCTAAATGCACTAATGGAGCAAAATCCTCTCGTAACAAAACAGCCGCGATACACGTGCAGCGGTCAAGAGGGTGCCTTCTTCCGATGTGAAATGCATTCTTGCACATCTTAACATGTGGCCCCTTGGCAACACGCAACTTTTTTTCCCCCCCTCCAAAATGCATAACACATTGGACACCAAACACACTTTGATGCCTGCTCTTGGGCTTTTCACCCCTGTTTGCCCGCTGCAGGGGAGAGCCTGCACATGCGCGTGTCATTGGCTCAATTGGGGCACCCTTCGGTCTGCGTTTGACATCGTTACGGAGAAACGGCGCACTGACTGCGACTCGGTGCTTGTGATTTGCCACTTGCACGAGAGCAGACGAGGCGTGAAGTCAGCGCGACGCTCGACCCGGCTCAACGCTCAGGGGTGGAGGTGACGTCTGCGCACAGATATGTGTGGGGCGACGTCACCACCGAGCAGTTGCCCGCCCACGTGCCAACCAGCCTGCAAAACTTTATTAGGTTATAGTTTTTAGAATAATGTTTAAAGAATAAAAAGATCATCTTATCAAGGCCTTATATTGCACTCGTGAAATGAATTATTGCTGATGTGAAGCCACGTGCCATCTGCTCCTTGTAACAATAGCCTCCGCATACCCAGTAACAATGGAAATGATGGCTAACATCAGTGGCGAGTGGTATCTGAAGCGGTCTTAGATCCCCCTTCACGAACGACACTGACCAGCGTGGTGAAGTGTGGTCAAACGAGCTGTGACGGCATCGCGGACTTCATCCAGCGGTGGACTGGCAAAGGGTTGTCAACAAACAATTATAAAACTAATTATTTGGTGGGACTGCATCGGCAGTGGTGCACAAGCACACATGATAACAAACAGTTTTAAGGCGCATTCATCAACAACAATGCCTTAAAATAAATATATATTTCATAGGCAACATTTCAGCCAATGCTCCTTCTCTCGGGCATTGGTCCATGTTGCTACGAAGAAGGGCGATTGCCCGAGACTTTCGCCTATTACAGATTATTCCACTGAATGCAATTTATAATAAGTGCACTGTGATTGACAAATATGTTGGGTTTTTATTTATTATACATATGCACCCTATTTCACTTGCACAAGGTATGTTGACTGCAGTGCAGCTTGAGTGTTATTTGCTGCCACAGTATGACAATGTGTGCTACCCAATCACTGCACCAGTAATACCCGCTGTTGTATATGGGCCTGAATGTTATATCTACGGAGGTCACCACTGCCCACAAGCACCTTATAAGTGCCCGTATACCTACATAAAATGAATTTTTCAAAGACACACTTTACACACAAACCTTGTCCCTTTCCTGACTTCTCATTCACCTCAACATAAGCTACACCATCTTTCGCATCATCTTCTATTTTGTCTGGCTTATTTTCCGCTTGCGTCTTTGACATATTCCTGCAATGCATCTGAACACAGTTCGTCTGGCTACAATACTAGAAGTTGGCTCCCATGCTGCACACAACAGGTTCTGATTGATAAGGTCTGCATTTTACCCTGGAAGCATGTTTTTTTTTATTAGGTTTGGAAACCATGTTGCAGGATAAGATTCCTGTTTTGCTGCTCGTGATCAGCTCATCAAATTCAGCACATGGCATGTCGAATGTTGGTGCGTCAGCCTACGGCTTTAGGTCCAAAGTCTTACGGCTCATGCACAGTTCTGCATTTTCCCCCACAGGACAACTGCAGGTTCACACCCAACTCGGGGCAGGAGGATGCAGATGGGGATGGACTCGGAGACCAGTGCGATGAGGATGCGGACGGCGATGGCATCAAGAATGTGCAGGTGCGGTCACACTTAATATTAACAAAAATGTTCACATTCATTTGGTAGTTAGTGCCATTCTTACAGTGCAAAGGCACCGCGGAAATGCTCTGTAAGCGCTACTGAATATTTTTATCTTGAGTGTATTGCTGCAGAACTAATTGAGCGTTCGAGAAAAATCATGAACAGTGACCAGCAATGAGTTCCACGTAGATAGGCCAGACTCTACAAATGAGAGCGAGTGAGCGGGTGGGTAGGTGGGTCACTGGGTGAGTGAGCGTGTGAGTGGGTGATGGAACATTTAAGTGAGTAGGTGAGTGAGTAGGTGAGTGTAGATAGGTGAGTAGTTGGGCTGGACAACATGAACGAGAGAGCGACTGAGTGGGTGGGTAAGTGGGTTGCTGGATAAATAAGTGGGTGAGTGGGTGATGGAGCGTTTAAGTGAGTAGGTGAGTGAGTAGCTGAGTGTGTAGATAGGTGAGCTGCCAAGGGGAGTCGATGGCGACAGGCCAAGTTGGAAACTAGTATGAAGTTACGGATTGATGTAAACACTTGGAGATGACAATGCAGATGATGATGACGATGATGACAATGAGTTGACAGTCATTTCTGTTTTCCTTCAATAAACCCTTAACAGGACAACTGCCGGCTAATAGTGAACAAGGACCAGCAGAATTCCGACACGGACTCTTTCGGCGATGCGTGCGATAACTGCCCCAATGTGAACAACAACGACCAGCGCGACACGGACAGCAACGGGGAGGGCGATGCCTGCGACAATGACATCGATGGAGACGGTCAGCCCATACAGAGCACCTGCAACCACAGCTCTGCTGTTCCACGAGCTACAGTAACACGTAGCTCTTCTATATTGCTGCCCTTACGCAAGGTAGCCTGGCGCATCATTAAACACTGCAGTGTGCTGAATTGACGAATGTGTCAGCGAGGCAACGTGTATATGGGAACGCCGTTGAGGTGGTGGGTACAAACCGGGAGTATCCATCCACCCAAGGTCAAATTCACTTCATGTTGAATAAGTTTGATGGTCTCTGCTTGAACAAGTACTATATATCCCTTGGATAATATGAGGATGTTTTGAAGGTAGCCGGGTGGCAAGCAGTCAGAGCACTGTGGAGAGCCTGGGTTTGACTCCAGAAAGCCACCTGTGCCTCACACCGGGTTCCAGTGTGAAGCAAGTTGATGGTTTCTAGTGCAGTCACCAATGACCGCACCAAAAATCCACCATCTTAAATCTGGCTTTCTCTCCAACCCAACCCTCGTGCCTTTGGCACGCGGGTCGGGGATGGAGAGAACACATTCATCTTCTCTGTTTGGGGGGGGGGGATTTATTTCACTTGCTCTGCCCTTTCTCCAGGAATCCCAAACATACTGGACAACTGCCCCAAAGTGCCCAACCCTCTCCAGACGGACCGCGATGGCGACAGCGTGGGGGACGCCTGTGACAGCTGCCCTGAAGTCAGCAACCCCACTCAGGTGCGGGCAGCAGGACGGGCTCCACGCATCGGTTTTGTGTGACGGTGCAATGGATACATTGCGGCGTCAATACACGGATCTGTACTGCTGTGGGCAGGGTGTCTCAACAGGTGCCCTACACACACGCACGAAGCAAGCTCGGAATTGGGCCATTTTAAAGAGGTAGCTGTTCATACTCTTTGGTTATTTCGATAAAGTCACGTAGGTATAAAATAAAATGAATTAAATCACGACGTTTCGGGCGCAACACAGGCGTCCGTCATCAGGTGGGACAACCACAGCAAGAAGCAATTGCTGAAGTGGGCAAAAGGGGCTGCTGCAACAAGAGGCTATCTAGGCAAGAGAAGGGGGGAGGAGCCAGGGAGGAGAGTGTTTACATCAATCCGCACCTTCTCTCCTCCCTGGCTCCTCTCCCCCTTCTCTTGTCTAGATGGCCTCTTGTTGCAGCAGCCCCTTTTGCCCACTTCAGCAATTGCTTCTTGCTGTGGTTGTCCCACCTGATGACGGACGCCTGTGTTGCGCCCGAAACGTCGTGGTTTAATTTATTTTATTTTCTAGCTACGTGACTTTACCGAAAGAACCAAAGAGTATGGATCCCTGCAGTCACGAAAACTTCAAATCTAGGTAGTTGTTCAATTAGAGCTGTTCGGCAGAACTGAAATGTCTACACTTCGATGGTCTTCAGAGTCGGGGATGGAGGAAGGGGAACCAAGAGGCAGGGCCAAGGGAAAGGTGGAGAGATGTTGTCGTGGAGGCTTTCAAAAATAGAGGGTGGGACTGGAGAGTGATGGAGATAGAAGATGGGGAGATATGAAGGCACGGTGGAGAGATGTTAACCTCCTCGCCTGGTATGCAGGAGGTCGTGGGTTCGATTCTGACCCTGATGCCTGCCTATTTGGAGTTTGCATGTTCTTCCCGTGGTCACGTGGATTTTTCTCCGGGTCCTCCGGTTTTTCCCTCCACATTTAGAAACATCTGAATTTCCACGTGATAAGCCGCTCCATTGGGCTATCGTTTGTGGCCAGGTTGCTTCTGAAAAACAGCTATATAGCTCAGTGGGCCTTACCTGGTCAAATAAAATTAGTTTCGTTTTATTTTATATTGTCTATAACCAATCCAGGCAATGTCTGGACAGAGAGACTGATGGTGGTGATGATACTGTCCTCCCTAACGCGTTTCTCTCTCCTGTAATCACAAAACTCTCCCCCTCCCCATGCCACAGACTGACAGCGACAGTGACCTGGTTGGGGATATCTGTGACACCAACCAAGACAGGTAACCCTTTACCACACAAACACACTGCTTGCCAAGGAGTGCTACTCGAGGGATGCAATGACACTGGCGCTGTGTGCGTCTATTTGGAGTTTACATGTTCTCCCTATGGTTGTGTGGATTTTTCGGTTTTTCCCTCCACAGTTAGAAACGTGTGAATTTAGACACGTGATAAGCCCTTCGTTGAGCTACCATTTGTGGCCAGGTCGCTTCTGAAAAAGAGCTATTTAGCTAAGTAGGGTCTTACCTGATAAAATAAAAAATAGTTCATAGTTTAGTGTGGTCGCAAGAGTGTCTAGCTTCTGTAGAGAGAAAAAAAACTGAATAATGAGAGTGGAATTTCCACTGCTGATTTCTTAGGATATATATATAAAATATCTTAAGTTATACTAGCGCTGCCCATGCATTTGCGCGGGATACATGTCCATTGGTGGAGGGTGGGTGGGGTTAGGCATAATGTCAGCGCGACGCAGGAACCTGCCTCAGAGTTGTGGTGTGTGTGCTGATGTCACCACCGCACACCAGCCAGGCAGCCAGCCAGCCAGCAAAACATTTTTCGAATATAGCATGATACTGGGGCTAATTGATGTACTGGAAGAATTTCATTAAAATATGAATAGAATATTGAGAGCAGCAGCAGTGTTAGAGGGTAATGTGCTTTGTAAGGTCGTGACGCAGAAGAGCGTGATATGCGTGTCACGTTGCTGTTGCGAGTTTGGAACCAAACATGAAGACCCCCCAGCCGCACTGAAAAAAGTGAGTGGGCCGAGGAAGGGCACAGCACTGCAAGGAACGATGGGCAATGGACAGGACTGATGGTGGAATGGCAGCCAAAGGAGAAAACGTGCCCGAGAAGGCAACCACCAGATGTAGAATGACGCAATCTGTTACTGTATACGTATGTATGTTGAACTTCTGTCTCACCGTACATAGCCGACCGTGCTAATCTGAGTTGAGGGGTAAGGACAACAAACTAAACACACAAAAAAACTGTTTGAAAGAAATTGGTTTTCAATCCAGATTTAAAAGTGCATAGGTCCAATAGCTTCCTAATATCGATAGGAAGAGCGTTCCAGACAGCCACAGCAGGACATCTAGAAGTTCTCGATACAGTGTCTTTGTTCGATGGTTCGCCAAAAACCGCTGCTCGGATGGCCGGAGTTTGCGTGATGGTTATGCAGGAATCAGATGAAATGTAGCATCACAGGCCCACGGGGATGACAACAGCATGAGGAGGCATGTACTCAGCAGTAGATGGACAATGATGATGATGACGGTGAAGTTGGAGTCAGGCTCTAACGTGCGTGCTAGTGCTGTGGGGCATGGCCTACCAGGAGGGGGACAAAGGTCCCCCGTGTAGCCTTCACAGACTGTTGGGGCAAGTGCTGTTCATGAGCACCTATGCAGGGGCGGCATGGCATACGAGGATGTAGGTGATCAGCACCAAGCCCGGACTTCTGGTACTCATTTGAGGCTGAATCGACCTAGGGGAGGTGCCAGACCGGTTCAGATAATCGTCACCGGTGTTGACCGTGGGCGGGAATCGAACCCTGGTCACCGGGTTCGTAGATGCAGCACACTAACCGCAGCACTACCTGCTGCCCACGAGTGTCCGGGTGGTGCTCCCTTCTCCACCCTCGTATTCAAACTGCCATGCGCCACGTATCGTCCACAAGCCACGTGTACAGAAACAGGTGTGCTGGTACAGGTGTACAGGTGGGGATGTGCAGTCGCTCGGAGCTGTCACATCCGTCTTTTAGATGCAGCTGCTAATATATACACAGCAGCGGACATGCGTTGACGCAGCGCGCTCACCGCCACTTTGCTGCCGCTGCCCACAGTGACGGGGACGGGCACCAGGACACGCGGGACAACTGCCCCAGCGTGCCCAACAGCTCCCAGCTGGATACGGACAACGACGGACTGGGCGACGAGTGCGACCACGACGATGACAACGACGGCGTCCCCGATTACCTGCCGCCCGGCCCAGACAACTGCCGCCTCGTCGTCAACCCCAATCAGGAGGATAATAACGGCACGCGCTGCGACCGTGCACGCACGAGCTTTACCCAAGGCTTTGAAACAACACGTCGACTTTGATGTAATGGGATGAAAGCCAAGGCTCCGGGCAGCCAAAGCCGGGCGCAGACCAATTATTTTACGTGCCCTCCTCCTCCTATCTCCAGCTCCACAGGGATTGCCAATTTCCTCGTTTTGAGCTGCAGATATGTGGTAATGGCGCTACTGACATTATCTGTGATGTCAGCACAAATTACGGTTACATCATTATGGCGTCATGATGTATGCGTTTAAGTGATGTTTAACAAAAAAAGTGCACTGTCAGTCTGTCAGTAAAAATTACAAGGTTGGTAACCTAAGAAGATATGAATGCATGGAATTTGTGTAGATTGACGAGTCTGCTAACCCCAAAGATTTCCAGTGTCCAAATAAAATAGGGATTTTTTTACAAAATGCATTCACAGCAGCTTACAAAGGGCAGCTAAAACATTGTGAAAATAATTTAACATGAGAGTTAAAGTATAATGTTGGGCTTATTTTTTACTCTTTTGTGGACTCATCGTATATAACAATATATGCAAAGATATGTTAGGTTATTATTTTGAAAATTATCAGTTTGTACTTGGGTCTCATTAATATGCTATTTAATATGTTTTCGACAACCCTTCTTAACGCTTTCCAACTAAGGTTTAAAGCGTCAATGCATTAACCATCTCCGTCTGTCAGAGGCGGGCGGCCACGATAACATTTGTACAGATGTTATTTTAAATAAGCATTATTGCAATGAAGGATGACCAGCCAAAATTTTACAAAATACGTCATCGTTAATCACACGGGCCCCTTCAATCGTTGCGTGATGCTACACCGTCACTCGGTGAAAATGGAAAGTTGAACCAAAGTTGAATCTGTCAGTTGCTAGTTGAATCTATCAGTCATAATTGGCCAGTACGAGATACGTCATCGGCCACTACTACTTATTGAGGTCACCGATACTTTAATGTAGAGCTCCATGTTGTGGAGCTTGTGTGGTCATATTACCTCATCACTGCACAGCGTGGTCTGGCGAAGGCCCTGAACTATTCAGATATCACACCGATGTTAGACATTGTCAGAAGTTGAGCTGAGGTCACCAAGTTCATTACAGAGTGAACAATCCACTATGCTCCTGCTTTCCCCTACATCTCCTTAACAAAAAGGATACAAAGTTTACTTTCAAATATAAAAAGCCATCAGAACAGCTGTGATTGCTTATTCTGCAAAATACGCACTAAGTGAACAAAGCTTATTTGAGCCCAATTAAAATCCTGAGGAAAGATGTCATTTTTCCAACTACTGCTGTTGGTGCAAGGAGATGAGATTGTTCGGATTTACCAGCATTTGTGACCCTCTGTAAGAATTGTAGCAGTGGCTCTCCTGTCCAACTATGCCCCCTCTCTACAGCTCAGCATTTGTGCATTTCTGTAAAATTTTGAGCAATATATATTTCAGCAATTAACATGCTGCTGAAACTAATTTCCCACAATATTAAACAAGTTGCTACAAGCCAACCATGTTGGAACACTTACGTAGTTGATCAATATAAAAAAATTGGCAATCTATTGCTATTTCACCACTAATTGGCCAAGTCTAGATGGTGCTGCGTTTTGATCACTTAACAAAATCGTAAGGTTGTGAGTTCAAACCCTGGTCAGAGGACTATTCAGCCTATCATCCCTCAGGGTCAATTACAATGATACCACTTAGGAATGTGGGATTTATGCCATTGCCTCAGGGCCACAAAGTGACTGTCTCACACTCATTGGAGCAGGTAATGACTATACAACTTTAATCTATCTTTCTTTTCCTGGAACTTATTTTTATTTTACCAGATAAGGTCCACTGAGCTACATAGCTCTTTTTCAGAAGCGACCTGGCCACAAATGATAGCTCAACGAAGTGGGTCATCATGTGGAAATGTATAGCAGTCAAATACTCTCAATATATGTTTCTAAATGAGGGGGAACAAAACCGGAGGACCTGGAGAAAAATCCAAGTGACCGTGGATAGAACATGTAAACTCCAAATATAAAGATGTCAGGGCCAGGATCGAACCCTTGATGTCCGGTATACCAGGCGAGGGAGTTAACATCTCACCACCACGGTCAGTTCGATCGCCCAGAGGGCATGTTCCTCAAATCCTCCCACCACTTTCGACCCAGCAGTACAAATGGCTACATTGGCAGGGCACGTGCAGTGGGACATAGAGTGTGGGCACTGCCACCTCCACCAAGATTTCTGGCGAGCGTGGGAGAGTAAGCCAAACGTCCTGGAGAGCTGCCTTCCAGAGCTCCTTCTGGAGGAGGGCCTTCTGCCAGCAGTGACACGAGCAATCAATCGCAGAGCCGCACATTGACCGCTTATTTGAGAGCGTGCGCGTGTGCCTCCCGGGGTGCAGGTGATGGCGTGGGCGACGTATGCGAGAGCGACTTTGACAACGACTCGGTGATCGACCGCATCGACGTTTGCCCCGAGAACGCCGAGATCACGCTCACCGACTTCCGTGCCTACCAGACGGTGGTGCTGGACCCCGAGGGGGACGCGCAGATCGACCCCAACTGGGTCGTCCTCAATCAGGTGGCGCTCCCTCCCGTCGCCACCCTCCGATGCAAACATCAAACGCCACGCAATGACAAAGATCCCCCCCCCCCCCCGTAATAGCCTTCACAGGCTGTTGGGGCAAGTGCCGTTAGCGAGTAGCACCTATGAAGGCTGGCACGCCACACGAGGGGGTGGGTGGCCAGCACCACGCCCGGCCGCCTTTGTCTCCCCAGTGGCGATGTTTACTACACACCGCACCAGGTACTCATTTACCTCGCCTGGTATACAGGAGGTCGTGGGTTTGATCCCAACCCTGACGCCTGTAAATTTGGAGTTTGCATGTCTCTCTCTCCTCGTGGTCGTGTTGACTTTCCTCCTGTTCCTCCGGTTTTTAATTCCACATTTAGAAACATTCGTTTAGAGTATTTGGCTACTATAAATTTACACGTGATAAGTCACTTCGTTGAGCTGTCATTTGTGGCCAGGTCGCTTCTGAAAAAGAGCTATATAGATCAGTGGGCCTTACCTGGTAAGTAAAATAGTTTACTTTTACAGTAGTTGAAGACAGATGGAGATTACTCTATGTATTATACTGCCATCTCGCGGCGAATCAGGGTATAGCATGATAATTGTTTTTTACCCTTTTATCTGGCAACAAACCTGACACCTTTTTTACAAGGAGTCATGTTTGCATTGACCACAATACCTGCGGTCGGAATGCAAACAAAAAAACACAACTCTGATAATGTATGCGCTGTCCTTGAAATTGATTGGTCCACACCCGAGACAGCTTTTCTTAGAGCCTAGTTGACACGTGGTGTTGGACCAGATGACACCAAAAGGCACACAACTCAAAGACAATGCACCATCAGAGTATGAGAGCTCTGGGTAAAGCATTTACACCATTGGAACATCCTTTGCCAGTCGAATTTCAAGACGTTTGTGTGATCCACAAAACCTAGCCTCCATAGTGCTGCATTATAAACGTGCACCACCACCGCCTGGCGAATTAGCCAAGAGTGGATTATTAGATGCCGAATGTATAATACACATATCTTATTGTGTGCAGCTACAATTATATAATCCAGGTGCATAAAACTATTTTAATAAGGACACACATACCTTGAATAGTATCCGTGTCAAGGCTAATTTATACTTCCAAAGGTTACAGCAGTTGTCCTGTTTCAATACATATATGTAGGGCATGTATACAATAGGCATGTGCCATGTGCACAGGTAAAATCACAAGCCTCCTATTTCTCCATCAAGTATTTGCGTTCTGGTACAGGTGCGCATGCACACACATCCGTAGGTCAGCCATCCCTCTAGATTAGACGCTGTCAAGACAATATTATCCAGTTGTAAATGTGTGTGGACTCGAAGGGTTTAAAATATGTATGAAGCATGCTTTGCTGTATGTGACTGCAGGGCATGGAAATTGTCCAGACTGTGAACAGTGACCCGGGCCTGGCAGTGGGTGAGTGTAACCCACCGTGTGCGGTCACCTTGGTTGAAGTTTGAATGGCTCCTCACACTCTCATCCATTATAATTATATTAATGCCCTATTTTATCAGACAGAATCAGTGTTTTCATTTATACCAGAGGAATCTGATGAGCTATGAAGCTCTATTTTTTTACAGGTACCCTGTAGGGGCGATTCAGACAATGGAGTCCATGATAAATACATTTTAAACTGAAATTGCTTTATTGGGAAAATATACAAAAAAAATCTTTAAAGTCTCCTCATGCTGTATTGAGAATTTGGTTGCATTGATATTCATTGGAAATTTTCAGTTACTGGTAAAAATTGGATATTCCTACAGTGCCGATCACTCTCACTGATGGCTAAAATCTTTGATGGTGTATCGCTGAGCAAATGGTTGCTTTACTCACTGCCTATAGATCCTGGTGTAGATTAAACATTGTTGACATACTCTTCCTACTGTGGGAATAACTTGATGAAAGTTTTCAGTTAACATTTCACACAATAGTGTTTAACCGTGTTATCAACAAACACATATTGTCCAATTTACTTAATTTTGGAGGAAAACTGTTACAGACAGGATGGCAGGCCAGGACGTCAAACAACAAAAGATGGCTCTATAAGAACCCAGATTTACTTTTGAACACCATAGAGAAGCTGCCGTAGGCCAGCGTCTAGGGGCTCCCACCTCTTCCAAGACATATGGCCAGCGTGAAAGAAGAGGCCAATGCAGCCTCTAGAGCTCCATTCGAGTGGAGACCCTTCTACCAGCAGTGGCGTGCACCTTTACGAGTAATTTCAGGGCTTCACCTTCACCTTCCATTGTAAATGCAGCTCTGATTTGTATTCATGTAAGGACTGGTGCTTATTGTCGTGCATTCCTCATCTGACACAATAATGCACAATCATGAAGAATTAAAGTTACGGCAACTTTTATAACGGAAAGTTTCATTTTACAACTCTTTGTTGAAAAAGAACCGCATAAACAAAAATACGTGGCGGAATAGCAATGAATACAGAGAATACACAAACAATGTTATTAAAAATGCATCGCTCAAGGATCCAGTAATGGCATGATGCAATCGAAGCACAAGTTCTAGTAAAATGTCGATGCTAATGAGCACATCAGGGAAAAATATATATAATAAAATTATAAACTTTCTATTGAGATAATACATCATGTGCACACATCCGCACAGGCTACACGGCTTTCAACGGCGTGGACTTTGAGGGAACCTTTCACGTCAACACTGTGACGGACGATGACTACGCTGGCTTCATCTTTGGCTACCAGGACAGCGCCAGCTTCTACGTCATCATGTGGAAGCAGACGGAGCAGACCTACTGGCAAGCGACGCCTTTCCGCGCCGTGGCCGAGCCGGGCCTGCAACTGAAGGTGACCGCGCCTAGAGGATGGAACATTTCGCCGCAACGACGAGATCTTGGTCATGACCAAAACGTGTGGCCGCTATCGCTAGTGTCCACATGTATGTATGTACGTTGGACTTCTTAGGCGCCGTACGTAGCCAACTGTGCTAATCGGAGATGCGGGGAAGGACAACAAACTAAAGACAAAAAGATGTTTAGAGAAATTAGTTTTCAATCTAGATTTCAAAGTGCATAGCTCCAGTGGCTTGCTAACTCACGTCTCAAATTGCTGGTTCAAGTACAGGCAAGTTTTAGAGATTGTCTTATCGTCATACGTCGTTCACGTGTCCCTTCTTCTGACTTGTTTCTTTTCCTGCTTCACGGTGTCTTTAACGGTCGATCAAGCTACAGGGCACCTGTACAAATAGGAATCTACTCAATGTTAGAAAGTAGATGCCAACAGTGGTGAGTTTATGATTCACAATATTAAAGTGTATTTGAAAGAATACTACCCGAGCAAACAATGTACTTCACTTCTTTATCACTATCAACACTCATTTGCATTTAATTGCAACACGATTTGTGAATGAAAGTTTTTATTAAACGTCTTTTCGTAGAGAAATGTATATTAGTTGTATTAAGAGTATGAGTAAAGAGTGACCTAATTTTCTAAATTGTACCCAACAGTTTGTATTCACCCTTGCAGCAATTACAATAGCCTCACCTTACCATATGAATAAAAAGTGTGCTGTACTTGGCCCTTCCCCCCTCTCCAACCATTATATAAACGGAGTGATAGCTCCTGCAATCTCTCATTTACTTGATACAGCTGTCGTGACTGTGACGGTTCCACCTGAAGACGGAGGCTTGTGTTGCCTCCGAAACGTCGTGATTTTTATTTTATTTTACTTTTTATTCATTTTAATGTTTTTACCTACGTGACTTTACCAAAAAAAACCTAAGAATATAATTACAATTGGTTACACAGTTGACACTCACAGTTTGCCTCACACCTCATCTGTGTTGTTGCTACACAGGCCGTCAAGTCCAAGACGGGGCCCGGCGAACGGCTCCGCAATGCCCTCTGGAACACGGGTGACACGGGCGACCAGGTCACACTGCTGTGGAAGGACCCGCGCAACGTGGGGTGGAAGGACAAGACATCGTACCGCTGGCACCTGGCTCACCGCCCGCAGGTTGGCTACATCAGGTAAGAGATACAGCGACTGCTGCTCAGCACAACCCGCCCAGGGCTGGGGCAGTTCCCATGGGGAGTCACGGTTCAGTTTCACAAACAGTTCAGAATTTCTGGTGGTTTGCCAATTTTTTTATCAGCTGAAAAATGACCTAGTAGGGAAACTTAAGAACAGGGAGCAACATTGCTCCCCCCCCCTTACTGGCAGACAAATCTAATGTTCAGGCCGCTGCTGCATGCACCTGATGTATGTATGCTGAACTTATTTCGCACCATACGTAGCCAACCATGATAATCGGAGGTGTGGGGGAAGGACAACAAACTAAACACAAAAAGCGGTTCTAAAGAAATGAGTTTTCACTCGAGATTGATAAGTATATAGCTCCAGTGGCTTCCTAATATGGGAAGGAAGAGTGTTCCAGACGGCCTGCAGAAGCGCATCTGAATGCGCGCGATGCAGTGACCGTCTTTGTTCGACGGCTAGCCAAAAGCCGCTGTGAATATGACCGGGGTTCGCGTAATGGTTTATGCTCCTTAACAGGATCAGCAAGGTATTGTGGTTCATTTGTGGCAAGCAATTTGTGTGTGATGAGTGTGCGACCCGATAATGGATTTGTGTGGCAACCGGAAGCCAGAGGTAATCTTTACATCTAGATTACACATTTTGTTTTTACCACGTGTTTTAAGCTAAATAAATAACCTACAAAACACCGGCTTGTAAAAAAACACAACAAAGTGCAATTGGAGTACAGGAATTACTTTGCAAATGTAGGCTATTGCCAACATTCTGGTTTCAAACTTGCTTGATAAACACCGTTTCCCCAGTAGATGGCGGAGGTGTTCCTTGCAAGAGAGCCACAGCATTTGAGATTGATCAGTTATAACCAATTATATGTCTAACACAGAAATAATTATAATGTATTTACAAAACAGTTAACATCCGTTAAACATCTGAGTTTTGTTCATTTGATTGTTCACAAAAATACGATCAGCTACCTGGGGGGTTTTCATCAGCTCCACAAAACTGTGCACAACCAAATGATGTATCCCGACTGGAAATGACCAAACCCAGACATGTTTCGCACACATGCATGTGTGTCTGCCTATGTTGTTGCCATGTTTTATCTTTGTGTATGTCTCTCTCTGTATGTTGTGTGCCTATGTTGTTTCCGTGTCTGTTTCCTTGGTGTGTGTCACGCTCGGTGTGTCTTTGTGTGTCTCTCTCTGTGCATGTGTGTCTGCCTGTGTTGTTTCCGTGTCTGTTTGTTATCATTCATTCTTACCTGATGATGGTTGCTTGTGTTGCAACCGAAACGTCATGTTATTTTATTATTATTTTACTTTCTACGTGACTTTACCGAAATAACCAAATAGCTACCTACGCTTGCTAGTGCAAGCCAGCTTGGGGTGGCATCCCTTCGTGGCCCCGAGTCGATGGTGGAAATTCATGAAACACCAACGGCCTCTACCTGATTATCCATAGGGTGACTACTGTTGCCTGCCTATGAAGAGCTTTGATGAAAGGCTGAGCCAGCCCCTACTGAAGATTGAACTTGCGAGTTTGAGCACTTTGTGTTGTAACTGTGCAAACCAAAATGTCACATTTACACGCATAGACAAAGATATAGCCTTAACAGGCTTTTGGGGCAATTGTTGTTTGTGAGTATCAGTTATGGAAGGCCGGCACGGCACACGAGGGGGGGGGGGGTGGGTGGCCAGCAATACGCCCGGCCGCCTTTGTCTCCCGAGTGACGATATTTACTACACATCGCACTGGGTACTCTCCTTTGAGGTTCAGACGACACGTGTGCACACACCGATGGTAATACACATTCCTGCGGAGAGAGCTGGTAGGAACGTTGGGTTGCTCACTCAATGGCCAGGGTCAACGGCGGCGTGGTGTATTCTACAAATATGCCCGACTGTGAGGGCGGGCACAAGCCGGCGTGAGTAGGTTAAACGTTGTGTTTTATAAGGGCACCACGGGGTGACCAGCCCCTCCCCACCCAGCCCCACCCCTCCCACCCCTCACCCAGCCCCTCACCACCCTTCCCACCCAACCCAGCCCCTCCACACCCTCCCCACCCAGCCCCTCCCCACCCTCCCATCCCCACCCAGCCCCTCCCCACCCTCCCCTCCCCACCCAGCCCCTCCCTCCCCACCCAGCCCTTCCCCATCCTCCCCTCCCCACCCAGCCCCTCCCTGCACGACGGACACAATAATCTCCTGTGGGCTGGTGTAACCAGGAGGTTCCTACCAGTGTAACATTGTGCAGGATGCACAGCTATCATTCGTCCCGGTACTGGGTGAAGATGTTTCCACTCGGTTGAGTCTTGCGTGTCGTCTCGTATTTCCTCATTCGTGGTCGGTGTGAGTTTGGTGAAGAGCGCGCCCAGGACCGGTTCAGATATCGCGCGCCGCTCATGTCAGCTGTGGCTGCTGTTAAATAATTAAACGTTTCAAACATTTAAAAAAAATATCCCATGACAATCTTTTTGAAATGTTAACGCATCCCAAATGTTGATGCGTGCTGTGCAATGAAACTGCTATCTGCTGGATGTGCGTGGAGGGTGTTGCAGATTGTGGCTGTAGATATCACTCAGAAATGACATACAATATTCATTATATTATAAATATCTTCTAATGTTGCTCTTAATAGCATCAAGTGAGAGAATGTCATATTGCCTGACTCCTCTTCTGACCTGTATTTTGGGACTGACTGCTATCTCAGTGTAGCTGTTCTTTCTATATACATATCCAAATATTTATTTTTATATTCATGCCTTGGTTTGTCAGAGCTTTCCAAATGAGTGCATCAGTTTCCACTGAATCAAATGCATAGCCCATAAAAGCCCAGCAGCAATTGATATTCATTTGTTCGAAATAGAGACATCATCGTGTTCGCTGTTAAGAAAACTTGACCTGGGCAGAGGTCATGTGGTGAGAAGGGATGACGGCCGATGGGGGAGGATGGCATTGGAATGGCAGCCCAAGAAGAGAGCACACCAGAGGTCGACCCACTGCGGAGACGGAGCGATGAGATCGGCTGGCGTGCAGGAGTGGAATGGATTGTCGCATCACGGGATCATCGTGGATGGCGATGCCCTGGGGAGGTCTTCATCCAGTAGTGGATAGACAATGCCTGATGATGGCATTAGTTGTGGAGGTGGAGTGGTGGCCCAGTGGTTAGCACACTGTGCTATGAGCCCGGCGACCTGACTTTCATTCTTGGCCACAGCCAATGTCAATGCTAAGTGATATCTGTACCAGGCTTGACTGTCCCCCCCCCCCTTTCCAACCTGTATTGACCTTCGTTGTGAAGTATGGTCAAACTCGCATGACCGGCATAGCACGGGAGCCTCTCTGCAGAGGGGTTATTTTACCAAGGGATGTAAATGTGCTGTTGTTCTTGGGTGTATTTAAAAAGACGAGCTGAAATGTCGACTGTTCTCCTCTCAGTACCAAAATATACTATCGATGGACTGTAATATACTTTTATCAACTGAAAACCACAAACATCCGGTTTTGAAATAACGCAAGTTGGCGGTAAGTGGGAACTTATTTTATCAATCTTATTTTGCAGTTACAAGCCAACATTGGGGGGTCAGACATTTGTGACGATGTGTGACGAGGGGGGGGGGTTGAGAAATGTGACGTCCATCAAATTGCGCAACTTTAAATAAATATAGACAACACGTTCTACTTCATTAAATATACTTTTTAATAAATGTTTTCTCCTACAACATCAGAGTGCAGCACCACATTAAATACGCACTACAATGACAATTGTTTAAAGCGATTTGAAGCATGTTTATATTTTTTTGGGGGGGGAGCAGAGCTTTGTGACGTCATATTTGAGAGGGGGGGGTCTGACTTTTTGTGACGACGGGGGGGAGGGGGTAAAAAATCCTCCAAACTCGCGTGACGTCATTTATGGACGGTCCTCTTACAGGGTGAAGCTGTACGAGGGCCCGGTGCTGGTCGCCGACTCTGGGGTCATCATCGACACGACGATGCGAGGTGGACGACTTGGAGTCTTCTGCTTCTCACAGGAGAACATCATCTGGTCCAACCTGCGCTACCGATGCAACGGTGAGCGAGCACGCTGCAGGAGCGTCACGAGCGTGGGGGGCAGGGCGTGCCTTGCCCCCCCCCCCCCTGGTGGGGGGCCCTTGACAACCACCGTCAGATCTGTTTTCAACAGTGTAAAAGAACACAAACTGATTTAAAATGCGGTTTAAATTTATTTTTTACGAAAATGCTTCCATTGACGTTCCACTTTGCATTCAAATGTACTTAGAGCAGTAACGTAATATTGCAAAGAGGCTCGACGGAGCTGTTGTGGCCGCATTTTGCGAAGACGGAGCGCCCCTACCACCTTAAATGTCGAGACCGTGAGCGTAACGATGTGATTCGGCAGGAGGAGCCGCGAAATATAGCCGAGGTGCGACCGTGCGACACAAATCAAATATTGGAGGTCCCAACTGATCGATTGGCGCACCCCCTGAGCTGATAACGGAGTTGCTACGCCACTGCCAATCTGGAAGCTCAACTTGTGCGTGTGAAATTTCGATATAAAGCTTTCGTGACTGCAGGGATTCATCCTCTTGGTTCTTTCGGTAAAGTCACGTAGAAGGGAAATAATAAAATAATAAAAGTAAAACATCATTATCTTTCTTATTTTATTATTTCCCTCCTACGTGACTTTACCGAAAGAACCAAGAAGTTGTGTGTGTGAGACAAAAGGATGATATTTTTAGTCCACTACTTGATGTATAATTCCGTATTTTTCCAAAACATGGATTCGTGGTTGTCTTAGAATTCAAGTTCCACCGAGCGGTCAGTGGGCCTGCCACAGAGCCAGTTTTCATGGGGGGGGGGGGGGGTCTTGCTGGTTTGAGTGTTGTGGCTGTCGACTCGTGAAGGTGTCTCAATAAACGGTGTCATCTGCTGAAATGTGGATGGTGAAAGCCCCTTGACAAATATGTAAAAAGTAGACGACGATCATGTGTGCCATCACAATAGTCTACATCCAAAGATTTGAAAGTTGCTTGGTTGCGAAAATTATGTGTTTAATCCGGTCTCCATAAGTGTTACAATAGACAGCCACTATTGTCAACTAAATTACAAATATGTTTGGTGAAAGGAATTGCAATGAGTTGTAAAACAAGTCACCAGGGGTGCACAGTGTGTGTCTAATGGCATCTGATTATATCGAATTCGAACCGTGTTGTGTGATCGAAATTAGGGATTTCGATCGGATCATTGGGGGGGCACGTGCCACCCCCCCCCTCCCCCACTTTGTATGCTATTACAAAAAAAATGTTGCTTAAACAGTTTTTTGAATATCACATCAACATTTAATAATTCATACCAGCATATTTGTATGAATATGTCAAGTTTTATAATGTAATAAAAACAACATAACTGTATTGCTTTCTCTTACAGACACTGTTCCAGAAGACTTTTCAGCATATCGTGCCATGCAAATTCACTTTCCTTCATAAAGCCAAGAGATAAACTGGAAACGAGCCTGTGTAAATGACTAACAATTTTTGAAACTGAAAAAATACTTAATGATCGTACAATTTATTCCTTTGTGTTGACAAATATAGGAGCAGTTGAAGTGCAGGACATGCTTATTTTGTTTTTGAATGTGGGATTTGTGGATGGAATTAAACGTTGTTTTACCTTATTGTATAAATGCTTTTAACATTTAGTTACAATTTTACTGTAATTTAGAATTAATATTGTACAGCTGATATTGCATTTTAATTTTTTTTTACTTTGACTTGTAATATGTGTTCTTGAATGGTTTCTTTCCCATTGTTTGGGAAATTATCTGATGAAAAAAATACATTTATACAGTCGTTTTATGAAACGGAGGAACACACGCTGGAACCTCCATCGTTCTACCTTGCAGAACGGAGCGGGTTACATCAATGAAATGTACATATATGATGTTTTTTTTTAAACGTGCATATGACGTCGACATTTTGAAACAGCTACAGAAAGATTTAACATGTGCTATTGTGTGTGTGGAAGTTAAGTGCTAAAAGGCGGTGGATGGATGGTTCGGGGGTCGGTGGAAACTGGAGGGGAAATAGAAGTGATGGGAAAGTAGTGACGATAAAGAGAGACGTAGAAACAGAGCTAAGTAAATGTCAAATAGAAACAACACGCTTGGAGGGAATGTCAAAATTCAATCGAGCTCACGAATTACATATCATTTGTAATTAACATTCCATCCCCACTCATAGGGGTGCCATGGTGGCGAGATGTTACCTACCTCGCCTGGTATGCAGGAGGTCGTGGGTTCAATCCTCGACCCTGAGGCCTGTGTATTTGGAGTTTGCATGTTCTCCCCGTGGTCGTGTGTTGCAATTCGATTTTATTATTCCCCGGTAGTCATACCGAAACGGCCATTTTTATTGTTTACAAGACTTTTAATATACCTCGTTTGTCAGAATAAATTGAGGTGACCTATAGCAAATGAGTGATATGTAGTTTACTTAGATGATTCAATCAGCATGAATGAGTGAATATCACACACTTAGGAATTAGCCATTCTGAAGCTTAGCAACAACACTTCAGGCAGCAAGCCGTAGCAATAAATGCTGGCTGCAACATTGACTGTGGGCTCTGTTCGGTTGAAGAAAAGTTGTTCCAAAATAAAATCTGACTAAATGAGCAAGTTGACGAAACATGTGCTTGCAGATTGCAAGCGGACTTGTTCACGCAATCGTACTGTGTGACCTTTGTGACCACATTGCTTCAAGTCAACAAGTGACTCCGAGTTGAAGTTTGAGAGATTTATAGGAGTAGGCGTTCACGTTGCTTTAACATTGTAGGTACGTTGCTTCAAGACAAAACGTCGGTGCAAAAATCTAAAAAATGGTCTGAGCCTCCAAAAGGGGACGTTCTATGTGCGTTTAAAGGAGATGCCAGCAGACACCACATGCAGTGGTGTGCTTGTGTGTGCCATTGCAATTCTCACAAGTTGACAGCCATGCAATATTTACACAGATATGTGCTGTTAATGCTGTTGGTGCTATTTTAATTGATAACATTTTTTTTTAGCTATTTTAGTGAACACCATCATGTCATTTGTGAGCACAGATGTTAGATTTGTTTCGTGCATAAATTATATCTGCAGTTTCCATGAGCTTTAGAAACAACCCATTAACAAGCATCAAGATCCAAAGGACATCAGAGCCGGTGAAATTGATGGTACCACTCCAAGACGAAACTTCCTCCAGGCTCCGAAACGAGCTTGATTGTCCTCAAAGGTTTCCTCTGTCAGTCTCTCTGAGAATCCGGCCTCACGTCTCCCCCTTTGGTTGCTGACCTCTACCTGTCCACCTCATTGTTTATCTCGGTCATTTCACCTCCTCGATCCAATACAGGTTCCTCGCCCGTCATATGTTTCGCTTCATCATTGAGTCCACAATGCTCTGCCACATTATATTCTGAATGCCAACGTTTCATTGTATCCTTCACCTGCCGTGAAATTGTTAAATCCTTCTGTACTGGAATGACCGAAAGCCTATGTCCCAGTTGGTTATAACCCAACTCTCCGACCCATTCGTATCACTGACATGTCAGATATCTACTGTCTGCTCTTATTAGCTGCTTTATGTCGTTCATTAAAAAACACGTCTCTGATGGTAAATTCACTTCATTTCCAAATACTACCCAATCTCCTGAATATTTTGGTCAATTGGCATTTAAGACCATATGCAGTCTGCAGTTTTTAGAGACGTGGACACATTTTTTTTTCCCTGAAGGATTCATCAGTGTCACGACTGCGGAGAGAATTATGTGGGTGATTCACGGACATGCAGTACTGCCAGTGAGCTCCACCTTGGGTTATGTAATTTCAGGTGACATAAGCAGGTGGGTAATGACTGATTTAATTGAAGAGAAGCAGGAACGTGGAGGTGATGAGAATGCGCCAATGGTTTTTGGGTTTTTCCCACCCTGAGGCAGCAGAATGTCCTGGCTAGAAAGCATAATTCGGTGGAGCACTGCTTCTTCACCTGACTTGAGGCCGTGGCATATTCCTGTCTCGATGTGACACAAATTCAGGAACATAATTAAAATGCATTTGAATGAAACATCAGGGCGATAAACTGAAACTGAATTAGATTTATGACGTTGACCTTTTGTTTCTGCCACTTTTCAGGTTTCCGTAGTTTCTCTGTGGTCTCCTCGCTTTTGTAAAAATGGGTGGAAACAACTGTCTAGAGCTGGGAATAATATAACAAGCTAGCGAGTCCCCCGAAAAGCACAAAGCAATACCCGTGCCTCATCTGCAGAGAAATGCCCTCCGCATACATATGGTATAGTAATGAACGACATTTGTCACTTAACAGGATAAAAGTGATAATCACAGCAGTGCCTACTAGCTATAATTTAGTTACGCGTAATTTGCAGTTCCATAGGGTTACATGACGGCCTTCAAATAATTCATGCTGACGTGTGGCTCCATCTGCAAGCGTGTACGCATATAAAAGTCATTATTTGTTCACGCCTGATGGTTTATAATTGTCAATCCGGTGCTTTTTCACGTTTTTATAGTTCATCAGTTCTATAGTCTACTCAATAATTGAAAACAATTGGATAGTATGTGTTTAAAACAGCACGTGTTTATTACTGCACTGCAGTTCTCAAAAGTGTAAATTCTCACTTGTAAATAGAAAACCTCACCCCCCCCCCCCCATATCTCCACCCAACACTGACACAATACACAGCAACTCTGTTGCTTATAAATATTTGATAAATGCATCATCACCCTCGTTATAATGTCCCTCATCTACACGTAATGTGCTGTATGCTGGAGCCTGGAATCGTCGAAACATTTTACCATTTTACAATCTCTAGAAATGTTATAAATGTTCTAGTTTCATTTGACCATTCGTGCTGATTTTCTTAACGCATCCTTTTGATTGGGAGCTTTCCGTCATGACAATGACGTCTTGGCACCGGGGTTATAAAGAATCCAAGCCAGCAGCCCCTGCCTCCATGACTGGCTTGCTGCCATTGAATCATTCTCCTAAACAGACTCCTCTCAAACCCCGTAACATGGAACTAAGGTAACACTGTCCACGATCTCAATTGGCACAGAGTGGATTGCAATTCAGTACATATTGGGCAGTGCAAAAGTCCTACACTTATTTCATTACTCCTAAGTTGGATAAATTACTGCATGAAATCGTTACCCTTTCAATTGACATTTTACCCATTGTAATGTGTGTATACTGTCAGAACACGTGGCAAGGAGGATTAATGAAAGCAATGAATGCATCAGGTTCAGATCGATGATGAAGGCCAATATTGTAACTTTATCAAACACGATGACTATTGATTATGCTTAATATGAATTGTAAAATGTATGTTTATTACAGGTGCTTGCATTATATGATATTTCAGGGTTAGTGTTGAATTTAATAATTCAATGCATTCGGTTGAATCACACCATGCAATGCAAATAACATGTGTACGTGCTTCGTTTGTAATTTGAAAGATCATGCACATTTTTATGAGAATCTCACTTCTGACATGTCTTTAAGAAAGCACAGTATGTATAAATGATATTGGGTTTTTTTTAAATAAAGCATTCTAAAATATTAAACTCTGCATTTAACTCACTCAAATACAAGTACAGCAAACTGTTGGGATTTGTATTGCACCACCTAAGAATTAAAGAGTTGATTAAACAAGCAGATAGTTTTATGAATGTATTGCAGACATTTGCAATTCAGTACGTTCTTATAAAAGCAGGTCGAGATTAAACACTTCATCAAATAAGACTACCATAGCTAACATATCTCTATTTGAAGCCTCACCAATATTTTGCATGTCAATGTACCATACAAGCTTTTGTTGTGAAACAATCTGGAATATATTTTTAACGTTATAAACACCAAGGGCCCTGAATTAAGAGTTCCTTTTACGGCTTTTTTATACTAGTTTGGGCTACTTCTGCTTGTACTACAATGCATGACGGGTGCTTCCTCTGCTGTGGAATGCATTGCTGTGCTAGGGTTCTGTACAGGATAACGGTCAAACGTGGGCAGAGCCATGACATTGAAGTGTGTTTCTTGCAGCAATTCCACTCACCAATTTTCCACTCACCAATTTGAGGTATTCGGCTCTATTTGTGCCTGGTCAGTCAAGAGTTAGTGTGGAGATGCCAAGCACGAAGCCTGACCCACCCGCAACGTTTGTCAACACAGCAAATTTACTTTGGTTCTGAGAATAGCAAAACAGTTCTGACAATGGTATGCCATTTTTATCCAGTGTTATTGAGTTTAAAATCTTCAGCAATTTGAAAGATGCTCCTAAAAAATTAGACGAAACACAAAGTTTGTGGTAATTTTGAGAAAATATGTTTTAATAAATGGTAGAATATGGAACGATAAAGAGACATCTTCGGGAAGATTAGATGTTTAAAACGGCTGCTGGTCTTCTTTCCTCTGGGTGGTACTGTATTGCAATGGACAGCCGTCTTCAGAAATATGATCCTGAACAACTAGATTAAAAAGTCTTCTGAAATTTTTTTTTATTTGAATTATAACACGCACCCCCAAATTTAGCTTTCAAATACATGGGCCAAAAAGTGCATCATAGGGAGAATAAAGTAACAATTTACTGTTGGGGCAATACATATCCTTGAAAAGATGTAACATATTTGTATGTAGTATCATCATCGTCCCTCTTTGTAATAATACTGATAGAAGACGAACACATAGATTCGATAGAAACAATGCGCAAGTTAGAGACGGTTAAGAACAGTAAGTGACCTTGGGCAAGGACGTGGTTTGTGGCCGAGACGAACGACAGTGGCAGTCAAAAGGAGGGAAACACCCCCTGGAGGGCATACATCAGTGTTCTTCACTCATTTTCAGAGGGGGCCCACTATCGCTGATAAGACATCATCAGTGTGAGGTCCACCACACATTTGAAACCATTGTTGTTTGACAGCACGATGGGGTGGGGGTTGTTTTCACATTTGTGTATTGTCGGGGGCCACACTGTAGGCCACTTGTGGTCGCGCTGAAGGCCATCAGGGGCCACCAGTGGCTCGCGGGCCTTGCAATGAAGAACATTGCATACAGCGCTAAGAGGCAGCGTATGAAATCAGGTGATACGTGGATTGCGATATTACTAGACCACCAGATGGAGATGGCTTGGGGAGGACTTCATCCTAGCAGTGGCTAATAATTAGGATGAATCAACCAAATCCGCAAGGCAAGTTGAGGAAAGGAAACTGTCATAATAATACTGCACTGTAATAGCAATTGTATTCAGTTGCTTTGCACTTGCAAACGAATGTCTGTGGAGGAGGCAGTGGCGAGTCCATAGCACTTTGAATCCGTTGACCCGAGTTCTATCCTGACTGCTGCTAACATCAGTGGCAAGTGATACTGGTAGGAACCTCCTGGTTACACCAGCCCACAGGGGATTATTGTGTACGTCCGTCCGTCGTGCAGGGAGGGGCTGGGTGGGGAGGGTGGGGCTGGGTGGGGAGGGGGTGGGGAGGGGCTGGGTGGGGAGGGTGGGGCTGGGTGGGGGGTGTGAGGGGTGGGGCTGGGTGGGGAGGGGCTGGTCACCCCGTGGTGCCCTTATAAAACTCAACGTTTAACCTACTCACGCCGGCTTGTGCCCGCCCTCACAGTCGGCCATATTTGCGGAATACACCACGCCGCCGTTGACCCTGGCCATTGACCGAGCAACCCAACGTTCCTACCAGCTCCCTCCGCAGGAATGTGTTATCAGAACCATTCTTGGCACCCACCCCCACCTTTGCCACCTTAGCCAGCCTGCACTAACTAGCATGGTGAAGTATGATCAATCAACACCCATGACCAACACAGTAGGGGTAGATCTTCATCTATCAGTGTGTTTACAAAGGGTTAACAATTATTATTGTTACGGGACATAAACATGTCAGCGCAGCAGTGGATTGCTAAAGGGCTGTAAATGAGTCATAGTTATATCTACGAGCACATATTTCATGTATATTGAACGAATTCTGAAGTACTGTACAAGATAATAAAAACAGGAGTTGAAAAGGATAAACTCATGCCACACGAGAGTACTAAAGTTGAACAAATTTAATAGTAACATCCAGTTATCAAATTGAAATCCTTACAATGTGTTAATCATCGATTTAATGACTTATGCAAATTATACATGGGGTGCAAACTTGCCACAATGTACAGTACATTTCCTGCAATGATTCATGTTTTGTTGAATAATAATACTACCAGACAAAAAGTATATTTTCTATGGCCACAAAGATTTGAATAAAATGTTCTTCAATCGGGTGCTAAATGTTTGACGAAAAGATGCACACCCTCTGTGAATGGTCTGTCATGCATTTCTGTCACGATTCGATTTGTTTTAACCGTCTCATTTATATTGTTGCTATTTTTTCAGTCTTGTTTGTACACATTAGTTTACTCCATTGGCATCACTGAAACAGCATATAATATGAATAAAAGTATTACCCGTGGCACAGTACGGGAAGGGAAGTAGAGTCACTTATATGATGTATTAAAAGACAAAACGGAACAACAAACGGAAGAGATTCTGGGACGGAATTCCCCAAGACAGACCAAGATGACACAGCTCAAGACGAGCAGTAGGAAGAAAGAAAGCGTGGCAGGCAGGGAGGGGAGGATGGAGAGAATTCATGACTGGGCCAAGATGTTGGGGATGAGAAGGTGATGAAAGAGGAAGACAGAGAGAGGGAATGAGCAAGTAAAAGTCAGCTCACAGTAACGTAATTTACGGAGACTTGAGCCAAGCATAATTGAGTTTCATCGATATATTGTTACCTACCTTCTAAGTGCAATACAGTTAACCTTCAGTTATCCGTGGGTGGATTATCCAGGCCGTGGATGCAGCATGCCTGTGAAAAAATACAGATTTTTACAAGCGGGATGGGTTCTGTTATTAGCTGCTCCTCACTCGTCATTGATCACTGCCTGTGCCAGGATGCCTTTAAACATGTTGGTAGGCTCAAGTTTCGATTTAAAGCTTTCGTGACTGCAGGGATTCATCTTCTTGGTTCTTTCGGTAAAGTCACGTAGAATGGAAATAATAAAATAATAAAAATAAAACATTATAAAATAATTCTCACGACGTTTCAGAGTCTCTGTCTTCTCGACAGACCTGTTCTCCACCTGAGGACGGCTGCTTGCGTTGTGGCCGAAACGTCGTGAGAATTATTTTATTTTTATTATTTTATTATTTCCATTCTACGTGACTTTACCGAAAGAACCAAGAAGGTTCAAGTTTATTTTGTTTAACTGGGTGAGAATGCAAGAGACTAGAAGCCTCATTTTCAAGAGTGACATGTGGGCCATTAGTCTACCATTGCGTGGTGCCGATTGCTATGCATAATGCCAATTGAGTATTTGCGGGTATATTTAATTTGGCAAATTTGGAGCCTAACGCTGGCTTAGGGGATCTTTAACGTCCACTGTCAAGCAGACGGCGAGCATTGTCAACATGGTAACGACTGGACCGGAAACGACTACGAGTAATGAGAGCACAGCACAAGAGAACACCACAGCAACTGTCACAAGTTCCGCTGCAACAGCAGGCCACAAACAGATGCAGGTATGTGTCTGTGGTTGGAGGAAAGTTACATCACACCATGGGTTGAGGATCCACCAGGGGAAGAAGGGGTGTTTGGGTAAAGAGAGACAGAGGCCTCGCATTGATTACTTTCTGCGAAAGCGATCAAATCAGTCGAATGAAGCACAGCAACTGGACGCAAACCATAGTTTGCAGTGCATCAGTACCACTGTCATGGAGGACGTAAACTCAAGCACCGAAGTAACAACTGAGGTGGAACCAACAACAGGAGTGGAACTCACCCAGCCTCCGAGACCTGCAATCGAGAGGAGACTACCAGGGCACAGACCGTATGTGAAGTGGCCTGGCGCCAGTGACAAGAAGTTGTGGGAAACAGTGAATACTGACCTTACCTTGACCCTCGAGAAACTTCGAGGCACTGTGGAGAAGAAGTTGGAGAGGATGGGGGACATCATCTATGAGTACGGGGCAGAAAGCTTTGGAGTGCAAGAGGCAAAAGGCGGGAGAAAGGTTCCAACCCCACCAGTTTCCAGGAGGCAACAAGAAATCAAGCGCCTCGTTCAAGAAAGGAGACAGCTTAAGAAACAGTGGAAGAAAGCCTCGGAAGTGGAAAAGGAGGGCATAGAGGCACTTCAGGCTGACATCAAAACCCGGTTGGCATCTCTCCGTAGAGCAGAGAACCTACGGAAGCGCAGAAGGAAGAAAGAACAAACTAGAACTCGATTCTATAAAGATCCCTTCAAGTTCCTTAAAAGTCTCTTCACGAAGGAAAAAAGTGGAGTTCTAAAAACAACAAAGAAAGACCTAGAAGAGCACCTGAGAACAAAAAACTTTGACTCAAAGCGACATGAACATCTGGCCATCCCATCAGATATCCCACCCATTGAACCCCCGGAACATCATATTGAGACCAGCCCTCCGACATGGAAAGAGGTGGAAAACACAGTTCGAAGGGCAAGAACAGCATCAGCCCCGGGGCCAAATGGAGTC